CTTGTTGTATTTGAAAGATTTTTAATTGAATGAAAATTCAATCTGATACTTTTTAAAATTATTGTTCTCTAAACCCAACAAAAGAGCTGAAAACATAAAAATAAGAAAATACTGTAGTGTAAATAATCAAATCACGATATCACACCCACATCCAAATTTTCCACAGACATGAGGAAGCGCTTGTCTTCTTATCCAATTATTAATTATAGGAAACAAGCAGATTTCGATATAAAATTTTGAGGTAAAAAAGTGCTTGTTATACAACTAAAAATACGGTAAATAAAAAAAAATTCAATGAAAATATTTCTCAAAACAAAACAATGACAAAGTAGTAAATTAAAAAAAATCAAATCAATTAAACAAAAAATTGGTTACCAAAGAATTTGAGGTTCCATTCAGAATTTTTTTTTATCAATATGCTTCTTGTTGACTAAAAAAAAGAAAGCCTTCCTGTTTTCGTAATAGAAAAGAAAAGTAAAATTATATAAAAATAATTAAAAAAAAGGTAAATAAAAATAATAAATTAAGTTTGTTTATATTGCACTTTCCTTTCTTTGAGAGGAGGAATAACAATTTTATAATAAAAAAAATGTAAATTATATAAAAATTAAAAAAAAAAAAAGTTAACGGTAAAAAAGAAAACGTTAAAAAATTTCTCAAGTAAGTTCGATGTGTAAGTAAAATTGAGTTTTCACATTAAAAAAAAAAGAAAAAAAAGGAAATTCTCAGAAGTCTTATGGTCTGAAAACCAGACAAATAAAGTTGGTAAACTAACTAAACTAAAAACAGGTGTGGTTTCAAAAACATACAATTTTTTCTTTTTTTTAACCAATGTGGGAACCACTGTATTAACCCTAATTTTGAACTTTTATAAAAAAAAAAAAAAAAAAGGAATTTTTCTCAGTATTGCAGTTCATTTTAAAAACTGAGCTGTTATACTAGTGACAACTTTATCTGCTTGAGTTTGCATACAAGGAGTTTGGCCCTGAACATCATCAGATCTCTGTACGTTACTATGTCATAATGTTTGTTTCTTTCAAATTTCACTTTGGATTTTGAGTTTTGTTTGTTTACACCTTATACAATATTTGGGATGAGAGATGAAACGTTCTCTTTTCTCCTAATAAAAAAATTCTTTTATTGTTGGTAGATAATCTTATAAAATCTTGCATATTCTTTATGTTTAAAAGAAAATAATTATTTGTAATGTGTTCTGATTGTAAGCAGTAAAATTCAAAGCAAATTTTGTTTTTCTTGTTTCATAAATTAAAATGTGTTTTAATAAGAAAATTAAAATTAAAAAAAAACAAACTCATGGGAATTCATTTACATTTTATTTTGGAAAGAACACCTAGTAAGTCATTTACACTTCTTTTTAAAGAACCATGAGACCCGTTGTACCCTGTTGGAACTCTGATTATTTAAATCAAACAGAAGTGCTCATTTCAATATCAGGTCCGACTGATATGCATAACTGAGGAATGAGCAAGCTATCAAACCTTGTAAATCACAGGAAATAAAAACTCTTTTTATTTATATCAGCCATGTCTTCTTGTTTTGCCATTTACAATTTTTTTTTCATATTAGCATTAAAGATGCCATTACAAAAATTATGATGATAGTTGTAATATCCATAGCAAGTTGCAAGTGATGTCAGTAAGCTGAAGCTAATTTTGTTCTATTTGAGTGTATCTATGTGCCAAGCTTGATTGTGTGACCGAGCACTGCTGAGTATGGAGAAGAAACTTAAAATGTTGATTTTGAAGACATGATAGAAAAACTCACATCAATGAAAGCAAGGAAAGTACAGTTTTTAGGCTTAACCGGCACCTTCCTTTGTTCCCTGCTTAAACTAGCCACCTTCCAGTAAAAGTGAAATAAACTTATTAAAATATATTTTGTGGTGCCATTATACTTTCATTTCATAATTTCTCAATGAAAAATTTAAAAGATTATTAAAAAATTCATGTTATCATGGAGTATTTTATTAATATTGGAATGCCAAAAGATGTTTTTGTATTTTCATGTCTAAAAAATTAATGAATTTTATGTTTTAATCTGCCATATTTTTATCACTATAGAATTATTATAAAAATGTCAGATTTAATAGAATACTCATATTTGAGTAAACATTGTTTATTTTAAACAGTATTTATATTATTTACATTTTGGACTTTTATCCTCATCTTTATTGCCATATTCACAATGTTTCAGCCATTGTATCCTCTGGTCTTCTTCAGGTAACTGGAATTTCAAACTGAACCCTTTATTTCATCCACTGGGGTAGATTGTTCTAGTTCCATGTGCCATACAATGGCCGAAACATTGGGAATATGGCAACAAAGATGAGGATAATAGTCTGAATAATGTAAATAATCATAATATAGACAGTATTTATATTGTCTACCAGCCTGCGTGCTTGAGAAAACTTAATAAAGAAAATTTGCCCCCCAGCAGAATTCGAAGCCATATCCACTTTGAAGGAGGAACCACAGTCTGATCTGGTGTGAAAGGCAAAATAGAACCATGCTTGATTGTGAAACTCTTCATAGCTAAGCAGTTTAAGCATGCCAGATCAGATGATGGTTCCTCTTGTAAAGGGAAACGCAGGTTTGAATCCTGCTGGAGGACCCATTTTCTTTAAGTTTTTTTTAGTATGCAGGCTGGTAGACGAAATAACTACTGTTTAAAATAAAAAAATGTCTACTCAAATACATGTATCCATGAAAAATAATGATTGAAATAAAAATTTCATAATGTGTTAAAAAATTATCTTGTGGTGCCATTATGTTATATTATATGATATATAATATCTATATATATTATATGATATCTATATATATTATATGATATTATATCATATTTTCTCTCTCCCCCGCTGCCTTTAAAAACATAAAGGATAATTAAAGCGCATCTTCTTAGAGTCTAAGGTCAGGTACTTCAAAAGATTTTTATACTGTTTACATTGTTTGGACTGTTGTCCTCATTTTTATTGTCACATTCACAACATTGTGAATGTGACAACAAAGATGAGGACAACAGTCCGAACAATGTAAATAGTGAGTAATTTATATTTATTCATATTGTCCTTTTACATATATACTCTGTCTGAAATTTTTACACAATGTAAATATTGTAAATAGTTACAATACCTTATCTCAGAAATATAGATAGATCCTGAAGAAGGCCAAAGTGTACAATGGCTGAAACATTGTGAATATGGCAATAAAGATGAGGACAGCAGTCCAAACAATGTAAATATTGTAAATAGTTACAATACCTCATCTTAGTAATATAGACAGATGTCAAAAGATTCTGTTTTTTTTTGATAATTGCATTGCTATAATTTTATCAAAGAATATTTTTCTGGTACCAATATACTGTCATAACTTAAATTCACTTCAAATAAAATATAATAAATAAAAAACAGTACTATAACATGTATATTAATGGTCTTGACTTGTATACTTGTTTACTTTGCACTTTGCTAGTGGGGCAGTTTTAGTTCCTTGTCATAGACACCATGTCCCATAGATACATCTCTGTCTTTTGGTAATTGATTTGGGTATGAAATTGGATTATAGTATTAGTGTCTTGGACAGTATCTATTCATCCTTTCCTATATCACAATGTACTGGCATCAAAGTGTCAGTTGACAGGGAAGTTTAATTTATGACTCATTGACTATGAAATTGAAAATCTGCTGTTTTTCCCCTTCACTCAGCATCCACTTGCTGATTTCTGAAGGCAGACATGTTATAGATGGTTAGTAAACTATTCTCAAGCTATTGTTGGTAAATTCAATCTTCCCTAAGTGTCACATGACTGTTGGCTCAAGCAAAAATTAAGCTTAATATATACCTGCATATGTGGGATTACCCCACTTGCCTGCCAAAGAACTTCTGCTAATGAGCAGTAGATAAGAAAAGGTCAGAAAATCTAATCCTCTTTTAACCACAAAATGTCTTAGAGTACATGTCATGTTTCCACTTGGGAAGATTTTTCAATCCCCTGTAAAACTAAAGTCAGATTTACAGCATACAATTCCCTATTCTTACTTAACAATATGCATTCTTAAATGTAAGAATCTCACAATTTTCATAGGAACTCTGCAAACACATAGATATGAAAAAGAATATATCTACATACATGTCTTCATTCATCCATTTTGCATTCTACCTATCTAGTTTGCTCAGGCAATAAAATATGTTATTAAATGTACATCATTTTTGGTGTATATTCATTTATACTTTCTTCTCCTCAACATCCTTTACCAAGTGTTCCAAGAAGTAGGACTCAAGATAAACCTTTCCAAAACAGAAATTATGATCTGGAATTGGAATGAAAGCAATGATGGCACATATCCAGAATCAATCATAAAATGTATGAATCTGTTGTAACAAATACAGTATAGCAGATAAGGAAATTGAATATAGAATAGGCTGTACTAAAGATAGTCTTGTCCAACACTGCAAATTGTTATAAAGCCAAAACATTAAGTTAAAAAGTGAAGTCATATTCTTAAATAACCTTGTCAAATCAAAACTTTCATATAAATGTCATGCATGGCACCAAATTCATTCAGAAATATCTAAACTGTCAGTTGTATGCAACCACTTTCTCAGATTATTAAATATGGCTTCCAGTGAACAAGGCCTGTATGTCTTAATGAGTATCATCCTTCTTCAAACCTTGTGGATTGGTGCTAGTGAATCACAAAGACTTATATCATTGATTGATTTGTTTTCTACAGCTTTTCAAAACTTTGCTGGTTATTTAAAGCCAGAAAATATTTTTACATTGTAAGAATTTTTTTTGGGGGGGGAAATAATAATAGTTTTAGTGATACAAGTCTTACTAATTAAATCTTAACTTGGGAGAGAAGAGGTGGATTTATATCTTTCCAAAGGGTATTTGCACATAAGTAAATACAACTAACCCAACAGAAATTAACAATTCCAAGCATTTATCCATTACACCACCTGCACATCCAAGTTTAGAGCATCTGGTAATCCCAAGTGGTCACCCATCTAGGTACTGACCAAGCTCGACATTGGTTAACTTCAGTGAACTTATGAGAACCGATGTTTCAATGCGATGTGGCTGTAAGCCAAACTGTACCAGATAACAGAAACCATGGCAATTGAGAACTTTCAACAGCGGCCACAACTAAAATAAATAGAACAAGTAACTTGAAGAGACAATAATGACATAATCAAGATGTTGATGTTCCACATTAATTCAAACAAAAGGTTAGGAAGGAAATCCCACCTCAGTACTGGAAAGAGTGATAACAGTGAACTTGAGAAACCTATTTTCTTGAAAAATTGTTTTAAGAGAAAGATTTTATAAATTTCAACATAAAGCAATATTGGCTGCTCGGCCAGTGAATTCCGAATATTTCCTTATAAGGAAACACCTAATATTACCATTTATCATCTTTTACTATAAGCTCATAATGTTTACCACACAACCTAACATTAATATGTTTTTATAATATTTGTTCAACATCTTACAACTGGACAGTAATTTCCAGTCTCATTATTACTGTCTATGTATCAGCCATTAAGTATTTTGGATTCTCTATCACATTAAAGAGGCGAAGATGGTTCAGAAAGAAAGAAGATAGCAGTTTAAAATACTGAGAGAAAGAGCATGATATCAAAATGTTGACATTCCACACTACAAACAAAAAGGTTAGGATGGAAACTCCTATCAATACTGCAAAGAGTAAAAACAGCTACTGGACTTGAGAAACTTACTTTCCTGAAAAATTGTTTTAAGTGAAAGATTTTATAAATCTCAACAGAAAGTAGCATTGGCTGTTCAGTCAGTGAATGCTGATTTTTTTTTTTTATAAAGAAATGGCTCATATTACCATTACCATTTTTTGAAGAAACTTCAATGCATCCACCATCAACAAATATTACTACACTCTCTCACTATATATCTCTTCAACAATTGGCAGTCACAGTACACATTCATCAAGGCTATAAGTGGGCCATGACTTTTGCCATAATGTTTTATTTTCCTAAATGAATTAATCTGAAAGAGACTTTTAGTTTGAACGTAAAAAAAAGACTTTCATTTTAAAAAAATTATGAAGATTATGAATTAAATTAAAAATACAAATGAAATTAAAATTGGAAAATACAAACCTTTGCATCATCAATTGTATTAGAATATATCTTTCATATTTATTTAAAAACTACCCCTCATTTACATAAAGGCAAAACAATAATATCCTTAGTTATTAGTTGAAGTTTGATTAAAAATTTCCATTGTATGATGTTATATCTATATGATTAAACATTCACATGAATTTTATGCATAGAGAGATTATGTTGAAAAATATTGTGTAAAATAAATGCTTTGTCATCATTAGGTTGATGTCCTATGTCATATATATATATATATATATATATATATATATATGAGCGAGCGGCACTAGTTGAGTCTGATTAGGAATCTTTTATTATTTAAGAGCCCAGGTGGCATGTTGTTCGCTTGACAACCCAACTGTCAGGGTTTCAATACTTGGTGGTGGATGCGCACTGCTGATGAGTCCCAATTATAGAATGACGAAACGCTGTCCAGTGCTTCCTCTATTTCCTGTTGAGGTTTCTATCAGACTCAATGAATCAATTAAATATAATTATCAAATCCTCCTACTTATTATTATCTGTCTTTACCTTCCTGAACCGGGTCTAATGCTCCAGTCGGTGCGGCTTGGTGAGAGTAGTTTATGGCTCCTTATTTATATGTCTGTTCCTAATCATTACAGAGAACTCAGTAGAGTTCCACCACGGAATATGTGAGTGAGCGGCGCTAGTTGAGTCTGATTAGAATCTCTTCGTTACCGAGGCCCATTTGGTACAGTTGGTATGTTGTTCTCTTGACAACCCAACTGTCAGGGTTTCGATACTTGGTGGTGGATGCGCACTGCTGATGAGTCCCAATTATAGGACGAAACGGCCGTCCAGTGCTTCCTCTATTTCCTGTTGAGGTTTCTATCAGACTCAATGAATCAATTAAATATATATATATAAGTTTCATTAAAAACAACTGACAAACAAGGTACAGTGGTTTTGCTTTTTATTTAATTTTTCTTGTGTTTTTATAATTTTCTTTATAATCTAATGAAACTTGTATGAAGAGGGATTGCTGCCCAAATACAATGTAACACTGAGGTTGTGGAGTGGTTAAACATTAATTCTAAGCAGAAAAAGGGCTAAGCCTAAAATGAAATATAAACTGGAAGATAGAAAGAGAGAATGGAAGACATTTTCCCTGGTAATGTGGAAATGAAGAAAGGGCCATCTGGGTTGCCTCACTCCTGTGACTTGGAATGATGCACAGAGAGTTTACTTTTTATCTATTGAAAATCTGGCATGTAGGTAAAGCAAATTGGGAAATGACTTTATCTCTTTCTTGGGAAATTAGAAAAACACATCATTAGCAAGAAGAGAGGGAATTATATTTTCATTAGCGAAAATGAATTGAGAAATGGAAATAGAGAATGAACCCCTGCAAGGGTTAGGATTATGAAAATTGATCTGTCAGAATAGGCAGGTGATCTGGTTTATGTTTTTGCTAAGACAGCGACCAGCCCAAGGATGGAAAATAGTGTATCTCTTTGTTGAGAATTTAGGTAAACAAATCTTTTCATTAATGAAAATAAATTGGGAAATAATTTTTATCTATCACTTGGAAGGTTAAAATGAGAAGGTGATCTGGTTTGTGTTTTTTTTTTTTTTTGCTGGACAAGTGGGTACAGGAAAGGAATCAGAGAATTGAAAGTAATGAGGAGAATAAACCATGCCCTTTCTCCTATGCACTTTAAAAATTAGATTTGTCACAAAGACAATTATGCCAGTCCTGAGAAGTGAGTAGAGTTAGAATACTGAGAAGGAAGGAGGATGGGGCAGAATTTAGCCTCACCTGTGCAGAATAGTGGTGTGAGATGTGAAGTGAAGCAGGTTGGAGTTAAGGGAGAAGCAATCCCTCTGACTACTCACAAGGAAGGTGGATAATTCTCCAAATTTGTAAAGTTGATTAAGAAAGCAGAAATAGTGATCAAAGAAAACCATCATTGGAATAAATGAAAATTGGGGAATCACCAAATCCCTAGAACCCTTCAGGACCCATGCCAGTTTTGAGCTGAAGTGCATATAAGCAGAAGACTTTAGGGAGCTCGGAACCTTTGGGCTGAGAAACTGCATTCCATGTCAGTTGCTACCAGATTCCTGATTCTAAGACTTTGAACCCAGAAGTTTAGACAAAGCCCAATGTCACTATAGAGATTGATGTGGGAAGGGTTAATTTTTGCTGTACCAAGAGCTATATAAACCAATTGAAGGTTAACCTCACAAATCTCTCGTTTTATTTTTCTTTGTGAAAATATTTTGCTTCCTTAATATAGCATCCGCCATAGCTTGAACCAGTGCTGCCATTATGATGACATTTAATCTTCCACTGCTCTGAGATCAAGAACACAATCTGGGCAGTGTAGGTGTGGATTGAAGCAGTCAGTGACCAACAACCAGCTTTAACCAGCACAGAGTTAGTCCATGGTTAAAACATCATCCTAAGACGCTGAGGACCAGATCACTAAACGAAGTTACACCACTGGGTGTAGGCAGGGGTGAAAGGCATTACATTAATAGGTGACTGTGACCCTGTTAGCAGATGGTGTTACCACCTGGAAACAATATATATTTTCCTTAAACATTATTTTTAATGGATACCCATATTTAAGTAGATGGTCTGTTTTTATTGATTTATTAAACATTCAGTCTTTACTTGACCAGGAGGTTCGTCATGACCAAGAGATCAAAGCACATCAGATCTAATGACTTTCCCAGAGAGTCCATATTTTTCTAATAAGTTTTCTCAAATATCGAGGCTGGTAGATAGAAATAAATAAATATACTGTTTAATAAATAAAAACAGAGCGTCTACTCAAATATGGGTATCCATTAAAAATAACGTATAAGTAATAAATTATGTCAGATTAATAAATGAAAAAATCCATTCCTAAAATACACACACTTCATTTAACAGGACTGACTAGGTACTTTTGGTTATTTTTTTTTATAATATATTTTTCTTGTATGTGTACAAGTGTGTTCTTCTGAGTGCAAAAATTGTCCAAAAGTTTGTTGATTCAAAACACTTTCAAATAGACTATTAGCTATTTTCAAGGACTTCTTTTTTGTTATACTACTAAATGAAAATGTGTGTAAACAAGACACTTGAAAATAGCTGAAAGTTAGCCAAAAGTGTTCAGAATCAAATTTTGGGACTATTTTTTACACTTATTAAGTTCAGAAAAGAGAACACTTGTATGTAGACAAGAAAAATATAATAAAAAGCTAAAAAGTATCCTGTCAGTCTTGTTTAAAGAAACATGTATTAAAGACGGTTTGCTACCTAAATACACAATCATATATTTTTTAAATATTTTTTTATCTGGTATTTTATTACTATAAACATGATTTTTAATAGGTACATGTTTCAGAGGTTAGCTCCCCACCCTTAAACAGTGTGAAATTAATATCATCAAGCAGGAATCAAACTTGTATCCCTTTTTCTACCAGGGAAACTACTCCCATAGCTGAAACATGCCATTACCAATTAGGCCATGGGAGATTGTGATTGATTGTGTTTTTTTTTTTTTTTATGGCTTTCTGGGTTATTTAAAACCAAAACTTATTTTAGATAATTTAGATAAAAATAAACTTATTTTTAGGTGGTATAGTAATTAGGAGTCCAATCCCTTATGTAATTTAAATGTTGCATGTTGGTGTCTATTTTCAGTGGGTGCGTGTTCATATGTAAACAATTAAATAAAAAAAAGCATACAAAAACTTGTGTCATATAAACTGTACTGAAACAAAATTCTCAATGTATCTTGGGTATGTCCATTTTCTTTTTGGTCCAGGAGTTAGGGTAAATAAGTATAAGGATCACTATACTGGTCAAGCTCAAGTCAGCCTTGAGCAGAGTTAGAACAACCAAAGAAAAGTTTGTACTTACTTCATCATTGGGGGTTATAATGGTATGTCCATTTTCTTTTTCTTGGTCCAGAAGATAGGGTAAGTAAAGATAAGCGTCATTATAATGGTCAAGCTCAAGTCAGTCTAGCACCGAGTTGAAACAACCAAAGAAAAGGTTGATTTACTTCATAGGAGGAGGTTTTGAGAGACATGTGAATGCCATGCATTGAGAAATAGTGAGTTCTGTGGTCTGGGGAAGAGATGCTCTCCAAATGGAGATGTAATTTGCATGTGATGCTACATCTTGGAGAAAGAGGAAGGGAAGTGTGTCTTTTTATAGACTTCAACAGTGCTGCCTAACAGCATTTTATGAATCAAGTGGGATAATAAAATTTCCAGGTTCCTTTATTACTAACATTTTCCTATAAATGTATATATTTTATTATTATCATTTTCTTTCATTTTTAGTTTAGTCAACAGTGGACCAGGGAAAAGAATGTGTTCCAGCCAGGGACATCCTTTTTCCACATGGTGCTATAACTTGGAGCAAGGAAAAAAACCAGAAAAATGAAGGAAACTGTGTTTTTATAGACTTCAACAGCGCCACCTAATGGGCGTTTGCGAAGCCAAGTGGGGTAATAAAATTTTTTGACTCCCTTATTTCTAGCATCATGGGAAAATGTATTTCTTTTTTTATTATAATTTTATTTATTGTTTTTATTTTATTTTCTCACAGATTAGTAATGGATGAGGTTACTGTTGGTCACCAGTTTGTAATTGGAGGTGTGACTTTGTAACAAATTAAAAATTGTGAAAAACAGATTGAGAAGTTTCAAAAGAAATGAATTCAATATTTATTATTTTCTTTCATTTTCCACACCCTGCACAAGGTAATATAAACTCACACTCAGTGGAAACACAACAAGCAATAACTGAGATGTACTAAATTTCCCTAGACATAGACTGGAACAAGAACAATCTACCTCTGTAAATTAAATAATTTAGTTCAAATTCCCTGGAGGTTAACCAGATTGACAGACACCTGAAGAAAGCCAGAGGACACAACAGCAAATATGTTGTGATAATAACAACAAAGTTCTGATAATTTTCTCTTAAAAGCTATTTTCAGAAATATTATCCCAATAAAAATATATTCATACAAACGTAACACTGGAATGTGTGTATTTACAGGTTTATATTTGTTAATGTCACAGAGTTAAAATAAAAAGTGATAAAAACGTTTTTGTTTAAAAATACTTTTATTCGATAAATCAACGAGTTGTCTGTAGCGTAGGTAAACTTAAAAGAAGCATAGTTACCTCCCTTGAAAGTTTTTTTTTTGTCTTTAATGTTTTCTTCAAATATTTACAAATTTTATGGTAAAAGTGAGACAAAAGAGAATGTCTTTATTTAACAATATCGATTTATTTTACTCTTTCAGAGCAAATAAAATGTCATCTTGACTAACGTTAAGCCGAACTCTCATCTGTAAATCTGTTCGACCATGTTCTGTGAGTAAAATTCTCAATGTGCCAAGAGAAGAGCAAATAGAGAATAATTCAGAAAATGTTGGTGGTGGAAGTCCTGAAAAAAAATTTAAAAAGATTGGTTTACAAAATGAAAATTGGAATTTTCTTTCTCATTACAGCAATTTTGTTATTTGAATGTTATACTTAAGCTAAAATGTAGTCAATATTTTAAAAAATATGTAGACAATGACTATAGCTAGAGTGGGGCGGTCTACCCCAGGCAGCACTTTTGTCTGCTGTAGGCTATAAGCCTGTATAGGCTGTATTAAAATAAAAGTGGTTTTAATGTTGGGACGGTACTCACAGATGAAGGATCTTTTTGATTTTTAGTAATTTAAGCTAAGGCAAATATATTGATCTATCTACCATTTATAAAGCAACAAAAAAGAAAGAAAAGTTACTTTGTACATTTCAAAAATAAAGATGTTCCTAATTTTTTACCCTTTTTTTCCCTATATGTCATATTTTGCCTTTTAACTGTTACCAAAAAAAGTTTAAGTATGTTTGGTGTGTATTTAAACTTTAAAAGCATGCTATATTTCAGTATGTGAAAGTAATATTATAATGGTGCACAAACTAGTTTTATAACATTAAGAGTGAGTCACTGTGCAATATGTATTTTTGTGGGGGCTGGTCAACAAATTCAACTGCTGTCATAGGCAGCACTTGCTCTATCTATGCCACTGCCTATAGACACCATCTAGAGGTAGGCTGATGGCACTATATATATATATATATATATGCATGTTTCATTAAAAACGACAGACAAGGTACTACGGTTGAGCTTTTTATTTAATTTTTCTTGTGTTCTGACAAGAGCTTTCTTTTCTGGACAAAGAGTGTGTAAGAACTGTCCGAATGTTCTGTGTTTCCGAGCGCTTTCGGCTATACCTTTAGCCATTATCATACACAGAACAGACACACTCTACTAAGCTGATAATTGAATCATCCTTGATAATGGCTAAAGGTATAGCCGAAAGCGCTCGGAAACACAGAACATTCGGACAGTTCTTACACACTCTTTGTCCAGAAAAGAAAGCTCTTGCCAGAACACAAGAAAAATTAAATAAAAAGCTCAACCGTAGTACCTTGTCTGTCGTTTTTAATGAAACATGCATAAAGGAAGGATTGCTGCCTAAATATACAAATATATATATATATATATATATATAACACTATTCTGTTAGTAATGCTTACATCACTCCTTGTTTTCAGATTTATATCTATCATTAGTAATGCATTTACATTATACATATAATATCCTATTTGGCTGGTAAACAATTCCTAACCACTGACAATGCCTTTCTTGCTGATTTTCTATGCAAAACAATGTAAAAATTTGCCAAAACAAACTTTCAGTAAAATTTACACAATTATGTTTAATTAACTATTTCCCCAATTGCCAGAAAATTTGATAATTAGAAAAAAAAAAAAAATAAAAAAAAAATAAAGTCAAGTAGAGAAATGGTGGATATCTTTAAATAGAGAATTTTTTTTCAATATATCTGAGAAATATTTCACAATCTATAATGTTATTTAAAATAAATTGAGTTACAGTTACAAGTGACCTGAATTTTAAGATGAAAATTGATCATTATTAATTTTAGACTAGTTTTCATCATCTAATTGTTGCTTTTTATTGAAATGTTTTAAGCCATATATTCATAGATGACATGATAGACTATTACCATAATGGCCACTAGGCAGTAAACAAACAATATAGCATAATAATCAGAGAATTAGCAATATAACTGTCTGGCCATTAGCCTCCGTGCCTAAATCAATTAAGCATCACCCATGTGAGACAAGATCTTAGAACATGGGATGTGAGTTCAAGTCTCTTTAAAGGCCATTTATTTTGAATTATGATTATTTAATTGTTAGAGTCTATTTGGCCTCAAACGGTGATAAAAAACAAGAAAACTTGTCAAAAATGCTAATTCAGATGAATACTATTGGTAAAATTACAAGTATTTTCATGCAATCTTTAATTTTAGCCATTATCACTCAAAAATTCATATACAGGGTGCGATGGATAAATTATCGTCTAAACTACACAAAAATGAAAATAACATTGACATCTCATTTTAATAAATATATTTACCAAAATTACACAAAAATATATCGAAATACTAAAGAGTAAATTTATTCAATAAAATCACTATTAGCTTCAACCATGGCTCCCAGACGACTTTGGAATCTTCTGAAAATCTTCTGGACATTCTCCAGTTTAAATTGGTGAATGCATGCCTTATGGTGTAATGGATATAGGCTTAGTAGGGGAAATCAAAGAAATGAGTTTGATTTCCAGTTGAGTTTGTTGCATTCACATATACGCTAATACTCTTGGGAATGGTATGAATCCATCTCTTCTCCCCCCCAGTTACGAATAGCAGGAGGAGTCTACCACAGAAAGAAATAAAAACCTACTGTGGGAAAACCTGCCTAGTCAGACATGAATCTAAAGACATGATCGCCCAAACATGTATCATGTACGACAACTGACTGATATAAGAGACACCAAAATAGTTTAAGGAATTTGAAGTATACACAAACCAAAAGTAGTATAAACTTTTGACACTATCCTTTATGTTATACTGGAACACACCTATTCTATTGTTGATAGACTCTCCTACCTATAATAAGTAGGAGTAGAAGCAGTCGCTGAGTTGGCAGAGAGTTGGTATAAGTACTTGTAGCTGATGTGGTCTGAGAAAATATTAGCCTACAAGATATTTCAAATTTACATATAAGACCTGGGGAACATTAAAAGACCTAGGAAATGTTTTTTAGCTATTTGGGGTGGGGATGATAAGAGTGATTTATATTACAACAAAAACAAGATGTTAAAAACTACATTCGTGGTATTCTGTTAAATCTAAGAGAAATATAAAGTAATTCAAGCAAAAGAATATTCAAGCTGTACACATAACACTTTGTGAGTAGTACCCTTTGGATAGAGATTAATTTGTTTTTTTTATTATGCCTTATCAAACTTTTGCAGGTTATTTAAAGTCAGAAAATATTTTTAGATTGTAAGAATTTTTTTTTTTTTTTGAGGTACTGATTTATTGATACAAGCCCTAATAATTAACCCATGACTGGGGGGAGAAAAGGTGGATTAATATCTTTCCCAATTGTATTTGCATGTGAATATAATGAACCTGACTGGAATTGGAACTCAGCTTTCCAATTTCCAATTCTGATCTATTACACCACCCACACGAACTTATAGCACTTTGTATTCCCAAGTGGTCACCCATTTCTTAACTTCAGTGATTGTACAAGAACTGATTTTTCAATGTGATATAGCCTTTGGATTGAGTAGATACAATATCAAAGAGACCTTGGAAAGTAAGTGTTAAGGTAAGTAATTAAAAAAAAAAAAATTAATGTTCAAATTCCATGAATTTTTGTTTAGAGCTTCATAGATATTTATGTATATAAACAAATTTGATGGATTTCTATCAGTTTTTAACCATTTTATGGTTAGTTCTAAAAATCATTCTGTATGAGGTACTCCTGAAAATTTCTTGGCCCAACTAATTTCTCAAAATCTAATCAAATCATCAAACATCAGAATTTTATTTTGAATCCCATTTTTGGTCAGGCTGAGAAATTTTCAGCATCTTGTGATTAAATTCTAATAATTGTTAGAACTGCGAAACTAATTCCTTTTCAGTTTTTTGTTGCCTTTGAACAGTCTGAACAACTCATTGAATGATAGTGATTTTTCAGAATTATAGAAAGTAAAGTGAATAAACAGAGAAAAACAAATAGTCTGGACTCACCTTCAAATCGGCATAAAGAAATATGTTGTGTGTAAAGTTTGGAAAATTCAGCTTCTTCAAGGCCACATCGTTGAAATTCAGCAACTACAGCCTTCAGGAATAATTGTTCTTGTTCAGAAGCAGATCTGGAAAAAAAAAAAAAAAAAAACAATGATGTAAACTGATAAAAATAAGGTTTAGATTTTTACATTCATCAATAAATTTGGATCAAGAGGAAAAAAGGAAATATTTTTTTTATTTCATCTTTTACAAAAGTCCAATCAAAATCATATAATTCTGCATGCTTCTACTTTTGCACAACCATTATGCCCTACCATTATGGAAGATAAATAATGGACCATTCCATTTTGATTGCAAGAAAAGATGGAAGAAAAACAGGCACACTTGGATTTTTGTGCCTGCAAAAATACAAAGTGTCAAAAGGACAGTTTTTCCATTGACACTGCAATTATTTTAACTACCTTCATTCCTGGTCAATGTTTATTGTTTTAAAAAGCAATGATTAGAATTTTAATAAAACCTAAACATGAAAGTGAATTTACACATTTACTTTGTTCTTGAGAAATGAAAATAAAAATAATAAACACTATTTATTTATTAGATTGTTTATTTACACTATATATGGGAATGGTTGGTAAAACATCACCTAATTGTTAATCAAGTCAAACTTTATAAAATGGTAAATAATATGGATTTTCTTATAGTTGGTTCACATATTTTAATAATTTCATAAATGTTTAGAAATTTATGAATAAAAAATCGTTTTCATATTTCTTTATAAATTGGTAAATGATCAATATTGCATTGTATTAGTTTTTAGAATGTTGCAAATATAAAATTATTCTTGTAAATAAAATATCTAATAAATAAATAGTGGTTAATATTTTTGTTGCGTAAATTCACTTTTATCATATGCGTGGGTTTTATTATAATCCTAATCATCGCTATTTAAAACAAAGATTGCCGAGGAGTAAAGGTAGTTAAAATAATAGTGGTATCAATGGAAAAAACATCCTTTTGACATACTGTTTTTTTTTGTTTTTTTTTGTTGGACATGAAGGTCCAAGTTTACCAAAAAAAAGATATCAGAGACACTGTATGATTTTAGTGGAAGAAAGAAAGCATATATAATAAGAAAAAGGAATACACTTATTTTGATAACTCTAAGATTGTGGAAATTAATTTTCAAACAACAAAAAAAAAAAATAAGAAGAATATTTTGTTAACAAAATAATAAAAATAGAGTCAACCTTAAAGTAAAAAATTACATTATATATCCTATTACCTTAAATAAATAATGGACTATTCCATTTTGACTGTGATGCAGGAAGAAAAAGCTAGTCACTGTCTTGTTTTAGTGATAAAGAAAGCATAAAAAATAAAGAAAAGCAAGCATAAGAAAGAAAGAAAGAAAGAAAGCATAAAAAGAAAAAGAAAGAGAGAAAAGAAAGCATAAGAAAGAAAGAGAAGATATCATGTACTTAGCATCTGTTTCATTGAAATAGAAGTAAGGAAGAAAGAGGAAACATAACAGTAAAATTGACTATTATTTTTGTCTTTTATAATTCTTATTGCTATATATCTAATCAAGTTTCATTGATAATTATCCTTCATTAATTAAATCTATTTCAGATGGTAATCTGGATACAAAGAGAGAATTGAATATAAATAATAACCTGCATTTAATTTTATGATTGTTATTGCAATATTTTGTTAAAGTTTTTAAGCTCAAATATTTAACAATACAACAATGGAATTTTCATGGCTATTTTATAGTCATTGAAATCACAAGGAACATTCAACCATTAAATTAAGAATTATGAATCATCAGAAAATTCACAACCAGAAAACCATGACATTTTTACAGTTACTGCTGGTTGAAAATCAAGATGCATCTTACAGACTAAAAAGAAAAAAGCGTTTTTGCTGTTTTTGATAAACTCTGGACTTAAAGTCTTTGAAGACAAAACTTACTTGATAGCTGTAATTTTACTTGATGAGAACATCTCTTGCAAAGCTTGGTTCACATGAGACATATTCACAAGTTCTTTTTTTTTGTTTCCACAACTGCTGCTTTCAACAATTTCGGTTGCTCTACGACAAATATCTAAGGCTCTCCTTGCATCACCTGAAACAGCAGCAACCTGAAATAATACAAACATTCCTTGATTTACAATCAGTGCACTTATGAACATGTAATCATTACAATCATACTTCCCATATGAAGGCTGAAAACCTCTTGGCCAGACCAAGGAGGGATTAAAAAAAAAGAAAAAAAAGAAAACAACCTTCCGAATGACAAACAGTATGGATCCATTACTGATGTTCTAACAAATTCAGTGAAGCACTTGATAATAATGTCATTTTGACTGCAATTGCTTTAGATTAGATTGGCAAGTTCTCCGTGATATGGAAAACAGAAAAAAAACACAGAAATAAAGTATAAACAGTATTTTTGCTACTAAAAAATAAAATCTGAATAAAAAAATAGAAATCAGGAGAAAGAAATTATGAAAATCAGTGCCTTTTTTATTTCTAAATTTACTGTACTATCAACATAAATGTAGTTTGTACTTTGTAGTTATCATGCTTCAAGACTGTATATTCTGATAGTAAAATATAAAATTCCTAACCTGGAACGTAACAGAATATTTTGCATGAATTATCAATGCACAGTGTAGTCAGTCACTTATGTGCAAACGCTACAACCTATATTGCTGCAACATGACATTCTATAAATAACAGAGTATTTTCCAGTACTGCACAAGTGCCATAACCTAATTCAAGATATTAACCTGGCCAAACCGGTCACCGCAGGGCAAATACCCATGTGTGACATTAGCACATGAATAGCATGACACGCACTGTGAAGGACAGTAAAAGTAAAAGTTTAGTAATTAAATTAGATTTTTAAATACTGGTTTCACAATGAGTAAATGAAAAACTAGCAAATTTGGTGGGTGCAGACTTTCAGCAAAATATAGAGCTGAAGAGCCAGCTTTCCGTAATGATTTTTATCAATAAGTAGAGCATCATCAATATAACGAAAGTATGTTGATTGTTTGGGTAAAATGTTTTGGAAAGGACCGGATTTTAGAAATTCTAAGAAGATACATGCCATCATTCCACTGAGAAGTGATCGTATTGGTAATCCAAATTTTTGTTTGTAACAATCATTATTGAATTGAAGTAGCATTGATTGGCGATGAGGTGGCAGATTTTTATTATTTTAACTGTTGGTAGATAAAGCTTTATTTTTGATTGTGTTAGATGCTTTTTTTAGGAGATTTAAGCATTTTTCGACTGGGACATTGATGTAGAGGGATGTTATATCTAGGCTGACCATGTGTTTATCAGCTATTTTCATTTCCCTTACTTTTTCAACTAAGCTGGCTGAGTTCTTTATGTGAGATGAACTGCTTTTTTCAAGGAGAGGGATTAGAATTTTTGTTATGGCTTTCACCAGTTTGTGAGGTGGGACACACACACTGTCTATTCCTGAGCTAATAGGGTGCATTGGAGTACCAGTTTTGTGGTTTTTACAAAAGTCATAAAGTTTGGGTGTTTTATATATATATATTTCAATACCCTGACTTTACCACTGTACTGACAATCCATCATTAGCTTGAGTCATTTTCTATGCTAAAAAGCAAAAGAAAAGTGTAAATGTTTCTAATTTCTATTTCTGTCCTTGGCTTAGCTGTCAGCCCAATTAATAGATAATAGTAAAAAAAAAAAAAAAAGGAGTCAAATATATATATATGTATGTATGTATGTATGTATGTACGTGTGTGTAGTGTATATATATATATATATATATATATATATATATACACACACACACACACACACGTACATACATACATAAGTAGAAAATAGAGTCATAACATCAAGTGAAAAAGTAATGATCAATTTATTCTTCCTAGGTTGAATGTCAAATCTAGAATAAAACCTCCTAAGGTAAAAATGTACAGGTGGATATTAAACAGTACCTTTCGTGCAGCAAGTTGGATTGCATCTTCATCAAATGCTTGAAGTCCTTTCAAGCGAGAGAAAACAATTTCTTGAAGCTGCTTGAATGTATATGGCTGGAATGTCATTCGTGTTAAACCCTGTAACAAAAATAAAATAAATAAAATTTTACCAAGCCTTAAATTTGCGGTTTTAATTTCTATTTTTGAATGCAAGAGTTATCCCCCTTGTATACTGGCCCTTGAGAAATAAGATGCTATTTTGTTTAGAACAATGTTATTACAATTGTTTAACTTGGCATACATATCAGATGTAGTCAGCCTCAATGTTATGATGGTGATTCTATGCAAGGTTTGAATGTGTGGGTAGTGTAATGTATATTAGAGAAAGTGGAGGGGGTAAGCAGAGTTCAAATTCTGGAATAGTTGGTCATGTCCCCTTTCACACAAATGACCTTGAGAAAGGCATGATCTGAGTAATTGGCAAAGTTCTCAATAAACAATAAGGAAAAGAAAAAAGAAAAACATAGAAAAATAATACTAAGCAAACAATATATATGCCAGTCAAAACTAGGCAAAGCAACTCTAATAAGGCAAAAAGTTCACAAAGCAAGAATTGTGCTCACACACTGAAGGGTTTGGTTTGGTTTGTTTGTTTTACCAGTATATCAACCCTTGTGGGTCATTTAATGATGAAAATTGGATTTTTATTAGATAATATTTTAGGATGTTTTAAGTTTTATAATTTGTGAAGTATAATTGAAAATTGGTTGTATAGTTCGTCTATAGGTGAAGTTGCTGAGTTAAAGTTTGGTGTATAATTTAATTTTCCTCAAGTAGGTCAAAATGGTTTTTACATTGTTTTTGAAAAGATCTTTAAGGCTATTCACCTTATAAAGGCGTTTATGGATAGAGGCAAATTTGGCACAGTCCATCATAAAATGTTTTACTGTGTATGTCTCCTGGTATACAATGCATTTAGGTGGATCCTCATCTTTTAGAAGGAATGAATGTGTAATGTTGGCATGACCAATTCTGATTCTTGCTAAGACTACTCACACACAAAAGGGATACAGTCAAGAACAAAAAAAAAAAAAAGAGAGAGAGAATGAGACCAAAAATTGGCCCATTTTTATTTGTTAGGTAGAAATCCCAGCATGCATCTTTAAGATTTATCTATACATTTGGGGAGGGGAATGTTTTTAGCAGTCATTCATATAGATTGGAACTAACACATGAAATAATCTCTTCTGCCTCCAGGTATGGGTTAAATAGCAGAGTAGACTAGGCTCCTTGACTTGGTTGGTAAGTAGGTTAGGAGAATAACATTGAATTCAAAACCATGATGAAGACAATAGGAAACTACTCTAAGAATCTATAGCAATTTACAGATAATAAAAAAAAAGAAATCTATGGAGAGCTGTGATTGATTATGTTCTGAAGAGTTACAGCATAAGAAATAAAATTGGACATCAACAAATTGAAAAAGATATATGAAGAAATGTATGAAGTCAGGAGAAATGATGCCGGAGGGGGATATTCTTTAATCCTGGTTGTTCTCAAAGTCTGTGATCAGACTGCATATCAGTATCATGTGGGTACAAGTAGTATGGTACAAGATTAAAGCTAAGAAAGGACATATATTTAAATTTGGTAACTAGGTGATTTTCCATTTTTTATCATGCTACTTTACACTGTATACATAATGGTAAACAGATTTATAGAATGTGGTTTATTCAGACATTCTCATGTAATTTAGTAAAAAGGCCATGAAAAAATCAAAAACAAATTTAGATTTTGCAATCAAAGTTAAAATGTTTGGAAAGAAGCTAAGGTTCTCTTGCATTGATTTTTGGACACTATTATGCACCTTTAATCAAGATTTTGTCAGGTGTATAGATATAAATAAAGGTAAAAGGAAAACAACTTTTTACTAACATGTTTCATCCTCTGATAAACTTTGTCAAGGCAAATGTAAAGATTTTATTTTGTAACAGGCATTTATAAACAGAAGTAAAAATATGGTACAGTTTTCAAAATACATAAAAAATTTATCAAATCAAAATATAATAATAATTTTATCAATAAAAATAAAGTAAATAAGGATAAACAAATAATAAAAAAGAAACAACGTTGACTCATTTTCATTTATTAGGCATTGAAGTGTATAAACTGCATCATTTAGTTTACTTTGACTGTGAAAGTTAGCCATAAGATTATTTTTGAGCATTCACAAATTTAGAAATTTTGTAAAACTAACTATATATATATATATATATATATATATATATGTATGTTGAAAAAGAAAAATCTGTGGTTAGTGATTGCATATTTTTATAATTTTGTGGACAGGTAGAGGAAGCTGATCTTTGGACTTTTGAGGTGGTTTCTCAATGTGATGGGTATTTTGGTGTATATGAATAATGGAAAAATTAGCTGACGTGTTTTGTCCATACTGTCTTTTTACAGATATACTATCTGAAGTTTTTACAAATACACACACACACGTATGTGTGTGTGTGTCTATATGGTATGCAGTTTGTCAAGAGTGTATATGAGAAATAGAAAAGAGAAAATTATAGTAGGAGAAAAGTTGCATGAATAATTTAGTCAAGATGACTTTACGATGCATCTAGAATCCTCAAAAATGGAAATAATGAAGAGAAGCTCTCAGCATCAGATTTCAGATTATGCTGACGTTAAGAAGATTATAGTTCAATTAAACTGGTTGGTTACCTAGACAAGATTTATGCTTTGATATAAATCATTTAAGTTCATTTCTCAAAGCTAGTAAAGTTAAAAGTATCAGTAAACAAGTAAACTAAGCTGTGTAGAGAGCAAAAGAAGAGAAATCTCATCTATGGGGTTTGAAACAGTTTAAACTGGTTGTCTACAATAAGGCACCATTTGCTAATTTGAATGACAGAGATTCTCAGGGAAGATATGTAGCTGACATCACACCAGACACACTTTGTGACCTACTCCACCACATCTTGCAAGAAAATGCTAGAGAGTAATTTTATCAACTGAAAAAAGTTTCTCATGCAATATTTAACCTTTGTGCCCACAAAAAAAAATAAAATCATACTTATTATAAAACCCAGGTTGTATGTGTGTGTGTGTGTGTACGTTTATATATTGGATCGGATTTCCTACATTTTTCAACCGATTTTAACAAAACTTCACAGGACTGTGTAAAATTACTTTGCGGTGGTTCTGACAGCGCCAAAAATTGGAAAAACACAATTGTTTTTGCACAAAATCAATTTGAAAACACTATTAAGAGGCATTAATGAAAGGGGGACAACTCATATCGAGTTATACTTATTATAAAACCCAGGTTGGTTGTTTGTGTGTGTGTGTGTGTTCCTTTATATATGGGATCGGATTTCCTACATTTTTCAACCGATTTCAACAAAACTTCACTTTTTTTTTTTGGCAGGTAGTGTTTGTTAATGTCTTGCACACTTTTTTCTTTATTTTTACATTCAGAATGCTTTAGAAATTCCATTTACAAGACAATTGTTTATAATAAAATTCTATTCAATCGGTAGACACATAACAATTGAAAACAATAGTTTTTTGTTTGAGTTTGGGTTTGACCAATTCGTAACATAAAAAAAAAAAAAAACTAATTAAGACATGCGTGTCTGTCAACTTTAAACAATAATCTTTGTCAATTTTATTTTTCAGTCTTTATGATGGTCAATACTTGATCTATCTCTTACTGTTACATCGCCGGGTTCTACTGCTAGTAAAAAATAAAATTAAAAAACAGTGTGTCAAAAGGATGGTTATTCCCTTGACACAGTTATTACTGTATACACTTTTCACTCCTTTGGCAATGTTTATAGTTTTTAAAAAGCAATCAATTAAAGTGCAGGGAAGTGTCTCTTAGTTTTTTAAATTTTAATAAGCATACACCCTGAGACTATTTATTCAAGAGGAAAGAGTACTCTCCTATCACCTTCAGACTCTTGTTTTGCTCCATGCAACATTCCTTGTCTCATCACAGATTACAACAATTTCAGGATATCAGAAAATCCCTTAAAAAATTTATTGAACCAAAACTGGATTCATTTATCTATGGAATAAACCATTTATCTGAAAGGTGTAATGAAATTAGAGAAAATACTTTGGTGATTGGATAAAGATGATATGAAGAAAAAGATTGTGTCAAAAAGAAAAAAAAAAAAGCTGTTGGAAACTTTTACATCAACCTAATATTACAAAAAGGAGTTGACTGCAGTAGAGATCATTGAGTCAATGTGAACGATCCTTTATTTAGTTGCATAGTATGTGCTTCTCCACAGCTACATAATTTGCATTCTTTTAGAATATGTCTTAAAGTGAACTTTCAGTTTTAAGTATTAAAAAAAAAAAAAAAAAATGTAGCTAAGACAGGAAAGAAAAAAAACCCAGAGAATTTGGACTTGAAACATTTACATGACTTACCAATCGACTTGACACTCTGCTCATCATAATTCTTTCTGGTAAATCCATTGTGTTTGCCACAGCTAACACCACAAGACGAGCATGAGGCTTTGTGGGCCAGTCAAATATATTGTACATTACATCCTGTTTCCGTGTCCACAGCAGATCAAGCTAAATTAAGAAAATAATAAGAAAAATATGAATTGTAAATAATTAAGGATTAATTCTAAAAACTATATTTTTAGTTGTGGGTTGGGTTAGGTTAGGTTGCTAGATTGTGTAACATATTAAATCCTTATTGAATTATTTAGTGTTGAAATCATTTTTTTAAAATTATTTTTATACTCGAGTCGATATGCAAACATTGGCTGGATTTATACCTGAGTCTACAAGCATCCACTCAGAATGTGGTGTGTGCGTGCGTGTGTGTCAGGGGTATTTAACTGGATTTTGATCTAATCTACTTTTATTGAAAGGTTTTGAGATGAGTTGCTGATAAAATTCTATATCTTTTTATTATAATCATTTCTATTGCTACAGAAATTGACAATTCAATATGGAATAAATATGGGATTATACAAAATTCCCTCAAAAATAGAAAGAAAAAGAATACCACTATCCTTTCTGGAGTAAGTTTATAGTGGACAACTTGAAAGTTTAAGAAAAGGCATAAAAAAAAAGAAGAAAAACTGGAGTGAATTGACAGATACATAAGCATTACCATAAGAATGCCCAGCAACTGAAGGAATTAGCAAGTAACATTACAAAAGGACACAGGCATAAGAGTTAAGAAAGTGATTCTGGGATATACTTAGAAAGTCTTGATAAAATCCAAAGAAGAATCCACAATGTTATCAGTCATGACCTGGCATCTCAGCTTCAGTTACTTTCCCACTGATGTGACACAGCTTGTGTCTTTTTTTATAAATATTTTCAGAGTAATTATTCTGATGAGCTTTCTTCTTTGGTACATAGAGTTCCTATTTTAATGTTGAAATTGTTAAATGTAACCTTAACTTCTATGATAACAGTTGTTTCTTCACTTGTACTTACGGAACTCTCTTCTGGCTTCTCCCTTTCTAGTCAACACTGATTCTCAAAAAAATTTAAATGCAATGTCAATCAGTATCTTGCCTTCTTAATACTTGTTGTTTTATTGTTTTATCTTTCCTTAATAATAACTTTGTTTTACTTATATTTTTTCACATTTAATACCCCCCCCCTTGTATCTTTGTGGCTTTATTACCTTGCTTTGGATAAAATGATTAAAAAAAATCTATGAGATTTTGGTCAAAAATCTTGTTTTTTTGCCTCAGTAGGTGGGCCAAAGATTAGTATAGGGATTTTTTAGCGTCTTTTTTTATGTTAAAACACATTGTTTTGGAAATTCTTGCAAAAATCAAATAATTGTTGGATTTTAATAACATTTTCAGGACTTATTCACAAATGAATGAAATTATTTGCTCTGAATTGTAAAATAAAAAATGCAATAAAACTATGACATTATCTAAGAAAATCTTTTAATTGCTTTTATAAATAAAATATATTAAGGACACTATTGTCTTAAGAAAACATTTTTTTTGATGAATAATGAATTTTTAGAATCGTTTTAATTTTTTTAATTTTAAGTTTATTAAGTTTTAAATCTTTAAAAATTCTGCATTAATTTTAGATTATATCCTTATCAAAAAACTATATTTACTAATAAATGGAAAAAGCTTAATATAAATCATTAAACACCATTATTTTTAAAAGAATTTAGAATTTTTTGTATGTGCTGACTTTTGTTAGTATGGGCAACCATACATGACATTAGAGATGGGCGGTTTAACCAAAAAGACAACTTTTTCGGTTTCATCTTCACACCGTGAAACCGCATCAAAATTTTTTTTTTTACAAAACTGAAATTGTTCAGTTTTTTTAAGTGCTATCAATATTGAGTGATCATATCCAAAGAAACACAAGTGAAAAAGACTTTCACACTTTAATAAGATTAAATTTTATCAACATTTATATCATTGTAAGAGAAAAAGATTGAACAAAAATATATTAAAAACATTTGACTAGTTTTAGGAAATTAATGTAAATTTGTTTATAAAACTCATTATATTAAAATGATTAAAATAGTTTTAAAATGTGTATTTAAAAAAGAGCAGGTGATACTCACAGATTTGGACAAAAAATGAAATTAAAAGCTTTTAAATTATTTTTAATATTTAATTTTAGATGTATTCGCTAGATAAAAACAAATTTATTTAGCGGAAAAATAACTCATTAATTTTCCTTGTTTAGAAGAAATTTATTTGCAAAACCCCAATAACAGTTGACTGGTGTACCAGAAATGAATGGCCGTATTTTTAAAAACATGAGGGGTTTTGTTTTTTGGCTTTTTAAAAGCCACATCATAAACTAATTTCTGGAGAGCTATACCATTTTCTCTCTCAAAAATATGTTGTCAAAAAGATACAAATATAGATAGTTTATGTGACGATTTCTTTCGTATTTTACTAATTTGTTAACAAATATGGTAGCTATTTATAGTTGACAATTTATTTGAAAGTTTAATAAATAAACTTTAATCGAAAGCAAGTGTCTGTCAGTGTCAGACAGCATTCAATAATTTGAAAGTCTTTTTATCACACATTTATACTATCAGTTGCTTTTTTTTTTTTTGCTTACTTTATAATTTTTGAAGGAATCTGCTTCCATGGGTCAGAGAAGAAATGAACATCTTCCTAGTTGTAGCTTAAGGTGTTTTCTAATTTAGTGTACAATTTCAAGAACATTGATAAAGAATAGTCACAGTGATTTTGCAAAACAAAGTAACATTTAAATGTAAAATCTAAATGTAAAATTTAGTCTCAGAAAAAAAAAAAAAATCATATTTCACATTTTTGGCAGTTTGAAGCAAAATATCGTTTTAACTTGTAAAAAAAAAAAAAAAATTCAATGAATAAAAGTATATGCAAATTACAAATTCAGGAAGATTATTTCATTTTCTTTCCAGCCATATGAATACTTTTAAGATTAGACCAGAAAAATACATGAGAAATTGTGAGTTGAATGGACTAAGTTGCAAATTTATCATTCTCAAATGAAATCACATATTGACTGGGAATGCTATCATTACAGAAGAAAATGAATGGCTTCCTTATAAAGCAAAAACTAAAAAACTGAAAAACCGAATAGAAAACAGTGCTATCAACAAAAAAAACCCCCAAAAAACAAAACTGAAACATAAATTGCCAAACCAACCAACTCTACATGACATTATCAGAAAATAAGAGCGATAACTACAGTAAATTTAAAGTCAACATTTCTCAAATTTAATAAAACATTAGATTATGGAGAATATTTTCCTAAATTTTTAAAATTACAGAGTACTTAAAAATTATATAAAAAGGCGCTCACGTCATTTTCTTAAATTATGTTTTACAGATAAAGTCTTCATAGAACACCATTAGAACTGTCATCAGGCTGTCAACATGTCAACACAGCTACTGTTGGGTTAACAAATGCATTTCTGCGATATCTTAAAGTTAAAAAAAAAAAATAAACTCCTTATAGTCAATTTAAATTAGTTTTTGAAATACAACAAAGCATTTTGCTTATTTGAAATATTACATTTAGTCTATTAGCTTGAAATTTAAACTAAAATAAAAGCTTTAACAAAGATCATTCATTTTAAACCTTAGGTATCGTTTTTTTCTGCTTTTTTGGGAGGTATTTTATATTAATCCAAATAATTCATGTAAAAATGATGATAACCTGTATTAGAGTTTCACACAACACTTTGAGAGGAGATCTTGACAATAGAATGATATCCAAATAATCTGTTAAATCTTGGCTTGCTTTACTGTGGTATGGAAAATAAAAAATATGGAGAAAAAGGATACAGATTCAGTGTAACCAGGTGTAAATCTGGTAATACAAACCATAGAAACAGAACACATAATTCCAAAGAAAGCAGCAAGTAATAGAAATCAAAAAGAATTAATAAAACAAAAAAAAACACAATTCACATTCTAATGTTCTCAGTACAGTTTTTGCATCACGTCAGGGAAATCTTGAAAGAGTGTTTGAAGTTTATTCCTTTTTATTGCTTGTGCAATCAAATTAATTGTGGTACCTTTCTTCTAAGCCTTAGTGAAAATTCAGAAGCCAGGAAAATGAAAGGGACAAGATTATGGAAAGAAACATTGTTCAGTGTTTAAACATTTGTCTTTCTGTGGAATTAAAAACAGTGTATTAAAGAAATCCCAAGAGAAAAGAAATCAAATTGCTCCTTTTTAATTGGACTCGCATTGAGTCCGCCAATATTGTTGGTGAGATAAATTTTTCAGGAGCCTGTAAATATTTACTATCCAATGTGTTGATTACCACATAATGGTGACTAAATATTTACCTAAAAATACCAGCAATCTTACAACAATATACTAAGGGTACTGTGATTTGAAAAAGGTTTGAAAACAACTTTCTTACCTAATCTAGACTAAAAGCCATATATTGAAAATGATTTTTGTATGATCACCAAAGTTAAGCAACACTAAGCCTGGGTAGTACCTAGATATGTGACCGCTTGAGAATACTAGGAGAAATGGCTTGAAATAGGAAATCGAAGATGAGTGACAGCTTGAGAATACCAGGGGCTGTAAGCTTGGATATGTGAGTGGTGAAAAGTATAACAGCTTGCAATTGGAAATCAGAGGACCGAGTTCCAGTTCCACTTGAGTTCCTTGTATTCACTTACGTGCAAATATACTTGGAAAATATATGAATTTGTCCCCGCCACCCACAGCTATGGGTTAATTAACATATCAGTAAATCATTATTATCTCTAAAGTAATTCTTATAACCTAAAAATATTTTCTGGCTTTAAACAACCTGCAAAAGGGTTGATAAGTCATAAAAAACAAATCAATAAATTAAACCATACCTCATCCACAAGCAGAACAACTGTTTCTCTTCGTGGTGCCATACCACTGAACCTTTTCTGCAGAAGTTCAGCAGCATGATCTGCTGTGGCTTTCTGTCCTGTCAGTTGCTGGTTAAATAAGAAAGAAAAAGAACAGGTGAGATAAAAGGTGAAAGAAAAAGATAAAGAGAGGAAAATAAGAAACAATCTCTAACAGAAAAATCTGTATATAAAAGCATATCTCTTGACATGCACAGGCAGAAGAGCTTATCAAACCAGTGTTTTGACAAAAAGCAACAAAAATAAGATGGAATAAAACTGGCAAAGATGAATCATTGAAAGGTTAAAAGCTACCCCCATTAGTACTGTGGGGCATTGCTAGAGATTGTTTGTTTAATGGCTTATCAACTCCTTATGGTTCATTTAGTACTAAAATTTAATTTTCTTAGGAGCTTAGAAGTAATAAAAATATGATATGTGTTATTCTGCTTTCACAATTGAATACATGGCAGATGATACTCAGCTTTTGTGCATATAGAGGTTTGTGTGGACATATTTATTAGGAGGCCATGATATGTGTGTTTTATGCTGTAGTTTTGTTGAAGTTATATTTTGGAATACAGTTTTAAGAAATTGTAGGATATTATATGGATTCATGCCATGAAAGAACTCTTTCATATTGATTGTGTGGTTAATTTTGTTTAGTGGCATGTCAAATTTTATGGGTTATTTAATACTGAAATCTAAATATTTTGAACACAATTTTATGGTTTCAACTAAATATTTTGAATGTAATTGCATGCCTTCAATTATTATTGGTCATTTTGCTATAAATAGATATTGTTTGGAATTTTAAAATAAAATAGGTATTGTTTATAATTTTACTATAAAAAGGTATTTTTATAGTTTTTGTTGGGGGGGGGGGTCACTATTTGCCTATACCTGTGACGCTAATAGGTGTTACCACCTCAGATCAGGATGAACCTGGGAACAATAGCAATTAAGAGGCAGTTCCACGTTCCACAAAACCTCCAATCTTCTGATCAGAGGCCTTGCTGCTGGATGTAGTTTATTGTCATGATCAGGACAACAGAATTAGTACCATAGTGTTCTCAAACACCCTATCATTCAGTTTTTAATTTCCTTGCTTTATATTGTCTTGAAAATTACGTTTTTTTTTTATAGGGAAAAAAAAAAAGGTTTTCATTTAGAAAAACTGAATTGAAAGATCACTATTAAAAATGAATTTACAAGTTTCAAAAGTTCAAATATGCAAAAATAGGTCCCATTTCATTTTCAGTAACCAAATAATTTTCTTGTAATTCACGCAAATATTATGACTAAAATCAGAAATTCCTTGTAGTTTCATGATAGAGATATTCAAAAAGCTACTTGACTTGTAAGAAAAAAAAGCCACTGAGGTTTTTGGAAATATATCTCTAAAATACAATATATTTGATGGGATCAGTTGACAGTCACAAGTTCCACAAAAAAGAAAAAAGAAGCAGGATGTGGCAATGCCCTTTCATTGGCCTGTGAATTGATGAATCTGTAAATTAGCCAGGCGGTAAGATTTCCTGATTAAGAAAAAGAAAAATTCCTCCTAAAATTATTCAGTGAGAATCTTTGCTGTGTAGAATTGTATCTAGGATAGGGGAGTTTATCTCAGTCACTACACTCTCTCAATTAATGACAAAAATTTTCCTACTGGAGACAGTACATTTTATTTATTACTACAAGAAAATCTTTCTCCTGGTGAAAATACAGCTGATTTGACTTTTAAAAGACAGTATGACGTTGATGCCTTGGCCTGAAGACAGCCATGGAGCCTAATGTAGTGACACAGGCAACTAATTACTGTAGCCACCAAACACCAGTTTGGGCCACATATGTTGTCATGATAATATCACACTGCTAAATACTGGGGTAAAACATTTTGTTGGGGGAGGGTTGTTCAAACACCCCATAGTACTAACAGAGGGTTAAGTGGTAAAACAAAAATGGTAAAGAGAATTGGAGAGGTGAAGTAGCAGAATGATCATATATTTTTACCCTGCTTAATCATCAAAACTTCTATGGCTATAGTGGTTAAAGTAAATGCCATGACAGATGGGTACTTGAATGTGGGATTCATTGGATGTTATTTTATTTTTAATTTCATGAGATTTTCTCTATCAGAGAGAGAATTTATTAATCCAGAATATTTTTGGAAAAAAGAGCATGTATAAGACAAGATGTCTCATTACCAGGAGAATTTGCACATAGGCTTGGTGAGGTTCAGTCAGTTTCATTCCATTCAACTCAATGTATCGGAATGATCCAATATCTCCATCCTCAGCAGATTGCTTCAAGGTACGAAGCACTTCCAGGACTGTTGCTGTTTTTCCAGTCCCTGGCACACCTGATATATACATGCAACTGAAATGGAATGAATCACAAGTTAACATACAAAAAAATAAACAAAAGAAATTTAGTTTGGCTGCAAGTTTTGTCCACCCCCCCCCTCAATTGAAATAAGAAATACAAAGAACCTAGCAGTACCCTTAAGATTGAACTTAAAGATCATCAAAAATTATATGAGACAATGAAATGGTGGAACGTGTGTGTGTGTATGTATATATATATATATATATATATATATATATATATACATATACCGATTCTTGTTATGCAACTCAAGAGGTAGACAGTGCCTCCCCTGAATAAAATAGATCAGCAGCTACATTTTCCTTCTGTGGCACAATATGCACTTAATCTAACAAAAATATGAAGGTTACTTTGATTATTATGTATAAAATGCAAATATTTTATTTTTTCATAGATTTACTACGTACAGTTCACAATCTGTTTATACTTTCATAGTGTTTTGACGCCACTGATGTATGGACCATAAATATTCTGAATCTTTCTAATGTAGCCCTTATGTATACTAGACAGACTGTGATAGATTTTTGATTGTTGTGGAATGAAGAGTTTGGTTCATAATTCTGAGAAGGTTACCAAGTATGTCAGACATCTGAAGAAGGCTAGTGAGTACAACAGTTGAAATGTTATTTACACTATTTATATTGTTCAGACTGTTGTCCTCATCTTTGTTGCCATATTTACAATGGGTCGGTCAAGGGCACATGGTCCATTGGATAAAAGTGTTGGTTGAATCCAATGACTTGACCCAAAGAATTGTGAGTATAATAACTGGCTACAGCTGAAGTGAACAAAAACTTGGAGAGTTGAGGTAAAGGGAGATAACTGATACTGAGACATCTGGAAGAGGCATGGCACATGGAACTAGAACAATCTACCCTAGTGGACAAAATAAAGGATTCAGTTCAAAATTCCAATCACCCGAAGATGGCTGGAGCATACAACAGGCAAAACGTTTTGAATATAACAATAAAGATGAGGACAACAGTCCGAAGACTGTAAATGGTGTAAATAATTACAATACCTCATCTCAGAAATATAGACGGATAGTTGAAAAGTTAGTTTAAATAAAAAGGTATACAGTAATGTAAGAAATTGCTTACCCTCCAGTTCCATCTAGAATCTTACTCTCAACAAAAGAATAAATATCTGAGAATTCATTTTCTCGACAAGGCAGAGTCTCTGGAACTGCGGAAACATGGAGTCTTCAGAAAAGAATAAAAGGAAAAAAGAAAACATTAACACACCAATAAAAGAAAGTGTTATAGACAAGCGTATGGTTGCAAGAAAGAAATACGACAACAGCAGAAATAGATTTATATGGTTTATTTCAACAGGAACGTGAGGGTTTGGGACAGCTACTTTGTGGTAAAGTTCATAAGCCGGCTTCGGATCTAGGTCGATCCCTCATAGTAGTTCACACATGTTGACGATGGTTGATGTTCCCCTTCTGGCAGCTGCTGACCGTGATTGGTCTTTACCCTGGCCACCTGTGGACTGCCCGTTGAACTTCCATGTGACCCCTTTTATAGCGTTTTTTTATGGCCTAACAGGCTCGAAAAACGAAGTGAGTATAATTAGGAGGGAAGCATATTTATTGGACGAAAAATAGAGCACTTTAAATATTATTTTATTTTTCGACCGGAACACATGTGTCGGGAACATTTGTAAATGAAGATAATGGTCATTTTGTGACAGGGCTTTGTCCCGTTCACATTCGGCTCTCGCTCTTGAGTATTTGCCTGTAAATCAGCTGAGATATGTCTCATTTTATTTTATAACACAAAGATTTACTACAATAGTCATAAAACATAAAAGTCATCGAACATATCATCTATAGAACTCCAAATTATTAGATCAAGAAAGTCACTGAGGACAATGAATTATAAAAATTATGATTAGTAAATGTGTGTAAGAATACAGCAGAGACCTCAGATCAACACTCAATAAAATATGTCAACTAGTGACAATTGTGTCAACTTTCTCCAACAAAATTGCATAATTGTAGACACTATATAAACATTCATAAATCATTATTTTTCTGAGTAGAGATTCTGAACATGTTTTAACTTACATATTAAGAACAGAGTGAACAGTTTTTATTTTAATTATAAAATCTATCTACATATTTTATAATGAATTAAGAATTCAAACTATTCAAAATTTAAAGATCTTTTCTTTCAAACTTTAATAGAAAAAAAAATTAATCTAAAATACTACAAACAAGGATTTGTACTGTATTACAAAATGAACAAATGTTCCTTCTATCTCTTAATTAAACCTATTATTTTATTACATTCAATACTTGAGTAAAATTTAAATTTAAGTAATTTTAACAATTTTAGAATTGATGTTGTAATACAGAACCAAGCAATTCCAGATAATCTTGCCAATAATGTATAAATCCTATTGACTTAGCACAAGTTTAACCTAAACAAGATATTATAAAATCCTGATGAAGTAGGATTCATCAAACTTAGGGACAGTAAGTAAAGCAAAGACCTGAAGGTTTCAAGACCTGAGACTTATCTGGCAATATGATGGAGATGTTTTCACACCTCAAAGAAAAAACTAGCAGTAAGTACAAATACATTACTATCTCGTTCCAATGTTTGCTAATCAACAAAAATCAAGTAAATACAGATTCAATATTTTTGATCCACTATTTAAAATGTCTAATTATTTGCTTTTTTTTTTTTTTTTTTTTAAAAATTGTAAATCATCCAGGAAACACTTCTATATATGTTATACAATTTAAATATATGTCGAAATTTAGCTTAGTAACAGCCAAACTCGGCACAAAAAAGGTTGGGAAACTTTGTCATTACGTCCAATGACTGGAATCCCGCGTAACACAGTTAACAGAGACCTGAAACCATCAATATACAACCATAACAAGTGAGATAAAGAAGAAGGAAAAACCACTTGAAATAGCTATAAAATTTATTGAGGGAAAAGAAAAAAAAATACAATAAGGGGGGGGAAAAATAGTCAGATGTTAAAGTTCACTGGTACAACTTGAAAACAACTGCCAAAAACGTCCCTTTGGCGATCCCTTAAAAAGGACTCCAATAACAGTTCAGAGAGAGTGAAAGAGGTAGAGAGATAGCAGAAAGAGAGGAAAAAATTAGACTTAATGTTCAAAAAAAAAAAAAAATAGCTTTAGTATTTTTTTTTTTTAAGTAGCTGGGCAGAAAGGTTTTTAGATATTTTTTTGAGTTGCTCTCCTTGGAAGATAAGCAAGTTTCCTGTTAAAAATAAATGCAGACTTGTTTTTTCAAACTTTCTCTGCGACACAAATTCAACTTCTAGAGATGACTTAGAAGATCTTTTTTCACGTCAGAATTTCGTCCACCAATAGGACAAAATAACTCCTCGAAGGAAGGTAGCTTTTCAATCACTTAATTTTGACTTTTTTTTTCTCTTTGACCCGATTGTCGAAAGAAGACTTCCTTGAGAATGTTCTATTGTAAATTCTCTTTATAATAGTTTCTTTAACTGATTTTTTGATAAGTCTTTACTGACTTGTTCTTTGGTTGCTGAACAATAATCCACTTGATTACTTGAACAGACTTGACTTCACTTGTCTAGAGAATAAGCTTTTTCCACATGGTGAACACACTTGTTCTTTATCTTCAATTCTCTTAGACAAATACTCTTGACTGGTCTTTTATGACTGTTTTCCTTGTCAGAGCAACAACAGGTTATCTTCAAGCAGGTTTCCTTTTTGTCGCAAGACAAGACGACTTGTTGTCTCCACACTGCGGCGCCCTTTTCTGCTACTACTGACTAGATTCCTCTAATCTAGTTGAAAACAAGCGGGAAAATCACATACGACCAATCGTTAGGCACGATTTCGCCACGTGACACAGCAGCAGCAGTTCTTACACTGCTCACAGGGGGAAAAGAAGAGGAGGAAGGAAAGTAAGAGAGATAGAAAGATAGATACAGAAATTAAATTTCTGACATATAAAGGTGTATCACTAAGTCCATAACTTTCTTTGAAATTTCCACCGTATAATGTTCAATTTATCTAAAATAAATGCTGTTTTCCTTATTAAGCCACAGACTTATTGATGTAACAATGTATAGACAGCAAAGTATTTTCTTTGGTCTTTTTTTTTCTCTCTAAAGGTTTAACTTTCTATTAGATAGCTAATGTCTGGTATTGAAACTTCATGCCACCACTGACAATAGTAATATCTCTCTCCAAGAAGTCATTGATACGGCTAAATGTAAGTGAAATAAACTGGAAAGAAAGTCTAGTTAACACTGGTGACATCAATGGCTGCCAGATAAATTAGTCTGAGGATAGTGGGAATTTCAAGTGCTTTCCTGTAATTTTGACTGGAGTCAATGGATCACCAGATCATGAGGTAATGTGATATCAGTAGTGGGTTTAAATAAATAAATCAATTATAACATTCTGTATTTGCATTTAGTATCTACTGCTAGTATAGTACATGTAACAAGAATTATTAAAAATAACAAACCTGGATCTGGCAATCTCAAACAGATCCTCTCTTTTGTGTGCTTGTGTCTTTCGTTCCGGAATACATGGAGTTCCCACCTGCAAAACAAATACCAAGGTAAGTAAAAAATTATCTACACTTTTGTCATGCATGCTTATAGTTGGTACTATTGTGGTCACATGATCAAAGTTTAAGCTTGATCATGCCAGTTTTCTTGCTGCAGTTACAGTGTAAACATGGCCGCTCCAATACCAGTGTGCACCAAGGATGAACAAAGATCAGCGATGTGAATCTGGAGAGAACATGCTACCTCATTGATGATAATTCATCAGTTCGCAATAACCATCTCTCGAGCATGCTGAATCTTCTTGTCAGTGAAACTTCTTGATCCACTCATACACATTTCTACGCAATAGTGCACTGTCGTTATGTTGTATTAAAAGCCTCTGATGAATTTCAGCACCTGACACACCTCAGATCACTGCTTTTTTGTTAACAGAATAAAACTATTATTTGATAAAGTTCTTTACTGTGTGCATCACGGATAGGAATGTATATTGCAGTGTTAGGAACAACTTCCAGTCATTTGATTTGTGTCTGCTTACAGAAAGTTGATATCAGAGGCTCCCATATGATGTTCTTATGCTTGGCTTACTGAGGAGGTTATCAGAGCAGAGCATGTGTGCAGATTCTTTCAATTGTCTTATTTTTGCAATATTGTTCACTCTCTATTATTCTAACTTCATTTCACTTTTCTTTCTATTGCTATACTCATATTCTATATGATGCTTAATTACTAACATCAATAGAGTTACTTTATTCTTTTCTATATGAATGTACACTAAATAAATCTATTCCATAATATAAAACACAATGTGAGTTTATATATTTATCGGTCATGCTCCTGACCTTCCCTATTTTATACAATGAGATATTCCACTGTTTATGGACATGGATACACTTCACTCAGTGTTAACATAACAAAGAGACTGGGTCGTGGAGAACTGATCAGTGTCAGCTTGCCCAATGAGAAGTGGGGCTCCCTATATCAAATAAAAATGCAATAAAGAAATAAAAACACAGACAACTGTTTTAATAATAAAAAGGAATAAGTTGTTATTCATTGAAAAGGAATTGTTAGAGTAATTGGATACAAAAGTAATTATTGGCAGAATCATACAATCATCTAGTGAATACAAAAGAATGCTCTTAATATAGTAGGCCATATGCAATGCTTTATTGTGATTTTAAACTATTTGTTAATGTGTAAATTGTGCAGTAAATTAGTTAAAAATATCAACCAATTACTTAAAATTAGAATTAAATAAAAATTCAATTAAAACATTTTGTATTTGCATTTAGCATCTACTGCTAGTAATATGCATACTACATGTAATTACTAAGAAATACATATTTTTCAACAAAAATTTGAATTGTATCCTTTTTTCATATGTATTTTTTTTTTTATTTTATTTATTTGTTATGTAAATTAAATGATAGAATTGTAGTTGCAAGTGAGCCCTGTTTGTCTCTTGGTAACCAGTATTTTTATCCAGTCTACTTATTGAGACCAGATTATTATCCTGCTTTTATTTTGTTTCATGTTTGGATATTTTTATTTTTAATGACCGAGAAAGCAGAATTCTTTTGGATTGTATAATAATGTGCAATTGTATCAAGTACCTATATACTCTGCTTTCAGCTGAACTGACACTATATGTAAATAACCTCATCAGTTCAACCATTTATTATGATCTTGAGCAAGTTTATTTAATTCATAAACTCACTGCTACTCATTGGTTGGTGACCAGAGAATTATGTTATCCTCCTACCTCTGTTTTGGTTTTTCTCTACTTCTCAAGACATAATTTAGTAAACTCTGCACTTTTAATGTGTTCAAACAGTGTCAAGAATTTACTACAGATGAGACTAAAGAATGGAGACAAATTAGTTACATTTCTGAAACTGGTTATTTTCACTATCAGCTTGCAACTTGTTGGTTGATTATTTTTGTTTAGTAGCATATCAACCTCTATTGGTTATTTAATGCCGAAATCTAAGTATATAGTACACAATTTTATATTAATTTTTTTTGGGGGGGGATAATACTGATTTTAGTGATAGCAGTTTTAATAATTAACCCATAGCTGTGGGGAGAAGAGATGGATTCATACCATTCCCAAGTGTATTTGCATATAAGTGAATATAACAAACCTGATGGGAATTGGAACTCAGTTCTCTGATTAACAATTCCAAAGCATTATCCATTTCACTACCTACCCACACATCTGAGCTTACAGCATCTGGTATTCCTAAGTGGTCACCTATCTAGGTACTGACCAGACTCGATGTTGCTTAACATCAGTGATCATACGGGAACCGGTGTTTCAATGTGATGCAGCTGTAATCAAACTTGCTATTTGAGATGATGCACATCATATTTTAAAATGTTTCAATTTGAGCTGAAAGTTTTTGAGTCTCTGCTACACAATTAATTTCTAAAATATCAAAAAAATAGCATGATAAACAATATTTTCTAAATACAATCCATCCTTCCTTGGGCTCAATGTATATGTAGGATTGATAAAAATTTACCCTAGACTTAATAAATACAGGGGGGTGCTTGACTAACGAAAGAGTTCCATTTCTATGATGCTATGTAACATGATTTTTCATGTAAATCAGAATGTACACACAGTTTTCTGTGAATAAGCACTTACATCTCTCACCAATGCTAATGCAATAGTAAAATAATGAACTAGGAGAAAACACATTTCTATGGCATATGTTAATATAATTAAGATAACAAAATTATATAGAGGACATAAATATAATACATATAATGAGATTGTTTCAAGCTGCTTGTATATTTATTGTCAGTAATGTCATTGACTCTTGGTAGATTAGATGATGAAACTTAAAATCTTGTCTCTCTTGCAGTACTCAGAAACAGGAGCAAATCTGGGGAAGAAAGAAATAGTTAACGTATTCTGTCATGCAATGTATTTTTCTGCCATGATGTTTATCTTGTACATATGAAGCAAACAGCATAAGTTGAAAGAAGATTAATAGAGTTGCATCATAACCATGAATTGTTGTAACCCAGGGACTTACTGTACAATGCAACAATTGCAAAATTATATAAATATTGCTGTTATTTTTTTGACGACATGGCCAAAATGATTAAATGAATAATGCAGATAAATACCTTGGATGATTTTTTTGATGATTTTGGTGTCTTGGTTGTATCTTTGGTAGACTTCTTATTCACAGGTGTCTTGGATGTTGTTATTTTCTTTTTCTTCTGAGGAACAAAATCATCATCCTCCTCCTCTTCTTCCGAAGTTTCAGTGGTGTATGCTGAACTGGACTCTGATGCATATTTTTGCTGCTTGGATTTCTTTGCAGACGTTACCGCCTGCTTCTTCACTGGAGATTTTCGCAATTTTCTTTTAGAAAGGCTGAATGTCATTTCATGATCACTTTCTGGAAGTTTTACTTTCTGACTTTTCTGACTTTTTGATGCCACATCTTTATTCGAATCACATTTGCTTCGAATTGATCGCTTCCTTGTCTCAGGCTCACATTCTAAGTCACTGTCACTTTCACCATCTTTGGGTTTTGGTGTTTGACGCTTGCTTTTGGAGTCTTTCTTTTTAGAGACTTCTTTTTTTGATTTGGTAGGTTTCCTCTTGGAACTGGAAATAGTATCATCAGAATCTGTGTTGTCTCCTTCACCTCCAGAGCTGTCCATATCCAGTAAACTGACAACTTCTGAGATGTCAACTTGCCTCCTAAAAAGGAAAACATTCTTTAAATTAAACATTCTTGCTTTGGAAAAATTTTCTAAGCTGAAGAATTCTTAAATTTTGATAATATTTATTGTACGAATGTGAATATTGTAGGAAAATAAAATAAAATCTCTATCTATAAAAGGCAGGATGTGTGTGTGTAATGAATGCACGGCCGCAATTTTCGACGGATTTTCACCAAAAATTACATGCTTCAAGTTAGCAGGAAGGCCAAGACCAACTTTGCATTTCCCAACTCCCATCGATAGTGGAAATAATCGATTTTTTCATGCTTCTACGGCAGTTTGCAGCCATTTTCTACTGACCAGAGTGAGAGCCAACAGCTGACTGACACAAATGTTAATAAGCATGCAAAAAAAAAAAAAAAAAAATCGATAGCTGCATTTGTGACAAGTGGGAAAAATTTAAATCTGCATGGCACTTTACTCCAATTGGCTCATTTGCTTGCTTAAACTCAACGTTGATTCTGATTCCACAGAACTGGATTGGGTGTGAAAAAGTATTTATTGTTAACATTCTTTTTTCATTCGGGTTTTTCCAGTTACGAGTCCTATTTTTTTTTTAAAGCTGATTGTTTTGTGTTCATTTTGTTTAGTTCTTTTTTTGTAACAGATTTAATGTTTAGTATAGAGCTTAGAAAAAATTTGCAGTATGAGATAGGCAAGAAGTAAAGGATGTAGCAACAGCAGCACGGCAAAGGGCACTCCTTTAAAGGCAAGGAAGGGCAAAAATATTTTAAGTCAAGTGATAGTGATTGCTGTATGAGTCGTACGATTTTTGAATGAAGCACAGGCAACACCGGGCTATGCTGCTAGTCAATAAATAAAATAATGATGAATAAAAAAAATAAAGTAATAAAGGGACCAGAAATTTTATTACATCACTTGGCTTTCCCAAATGCACATTAAATGGTGCCATTTAAGCCTCTAAAAAAACAAACATTTCCTTCCTCTTCCACTCCTTTGCTCCAAGAGGTAATAGAATGCAGATGAAGACATCTCTGCTGGGAAATGTATAACTTTCTTAGTCGATTGATGGATGAAGTAAGTACAACCTGTACTTTGGTTGTTCCAACTCACTGCAAGGCTGTATTGAGCTTGACCAATACAACCATCCTTATCATAACTTATCCTAATTTCTGGGACAAAAAGGAAAACACCACTCCTAGAAACAGAAACTCACTTCCACTTTCCAACTCATAGTGTTGGCACGATTTTTACCAACCATCCAACAATGAAGTAAGTACAAACTTTACTTTGGTTGTTCTAACTCAACGCAAGGCTGACTTGAACTCAACCATTATAATAATGCTTAGTACTGTAACTTACTTCTGGATCAGAAAAAGTTGGACATAACCAAGAAACATTGAAAACTTTGTTTCCTACAGTTTATATATATGTAAAAAAGTATAAACAGTTTGTGCTAGAAATTTTTGTATGCTTCTTCTCTGTTTACATGTGAACACACACTCCACAATAGACCAAACCTAAAAACCACAATATACTTATATAATAATAATAATAATAATAATATACTTATTTCTCTTGAACCTTACATGATTAATAATTTCATACAATGGGTTAAAGTCTTTTTATTTCATTTTTATATTATATACAAACTGTTGTCTTTCCATAAAAAATCTTTAAGCTCTTCATATTAATTTACTGTAATTCATTAAGGAAGAACAAATAATACCTACATCTTCAATTGAGGAATAACTCCAAACAATGATTCTGTTGCCAACTCAAGTATCAGATTCCTCATTATGCAAAGGATTCAACTCGACTACAGTCACTTTCCAACTCCCATAATGTGGCTTCCCTGTGACATTGCTAGAAATATATTTATGTCAATTGTTCTAATAAACTTTCCACAAACATACTACTAGATTGGCAACTAGGTCTCATTGTTTTACTGTTGAAATAGAAAGATGTAACCATAAATTCTATTTTTCTTGCAATTCTTACCCGTGGAAATGAAGACAGAAAAAGTATAATCCACATAGTGACAATAAATATAGGGCTTGTGGCATTTTTTAAAGAGAAGATTTTTATAAAACCCCACAAAAGTATTAGCTAAAGTGGGATCCAAGGGACTGCCCATTGAAACACTGTCAATCTGGGCATACATAATGTCATAAAAATTGAATTCCACCCACTCAATAGCTAAATACATAAATACCAATAATACTAGGAGAACCCAGGTGGCCCCTATAAAGGGCATCTGTACATATCTGCAAGGTATCCTGAAGAGGTACGTTTGTAAACAAACTATGTCATAGGATACCATAATTTTATCAGTGGAACATAGTTCAGGGTCTCTAAATAAATTGGAGAACTGGAATGAATCTGAAACACAAACAGAAGAATACAGATCTGAAATAGGCTGTAATAAAACAGCCAGCCACTTAGCCATTTCATGTTGAACAGAACCCATCATTGATAGGTTGGGTCTGATAAAATGCCTTCCTTATAGACTTTGGGTAAACTATATATTCAAGGATACTGAGATCCAGTTGGTCTAATACAATTATACACCATTTTGGTGAGAAATCTACTTTTATATAGAAAGCAGATGCTTTTGCATTTTAATCTCAATTCTACTAGTATTATCATACAAATTAACAGGAACAATTTTATGAAATTTTGTCAGATCATTCAACATGATCTCCATTTGAATTATATAGTCCTGCCTCCCTAATATCCTTCCCTCCATGACCTTTTGTCAGGTTTGGTAATATAGATGTCATTTCTGACTTTTAAGGACTTAGTCATCTGAAAGTGGACCAATCGTCAAGCAACAAAATCATGAACAACAGGAAGGAAGGAATATTCACAAGACAAATCCACCAACCTAGTCTTGGACAAAGAGAGTTTTTCAGAGGAAGTTGGAATATGTAAATTCAACTGACAGAATAACATCTCAAATTCTGTAAACACCCATTCTTTAATAACTTTAGTCAGGGAAATACAGAACTCCAACCCTCTGGCAAGAACAAAATGTTCCATCTCAGTAAGGGTTCCATCCCAGTAAGGGTGACAGAGAAATTGAACAAAAGCATGTCTAGGTTCCCATTTTCTATACCAAATCATTTAAAGATGAGATTATTAACATATTTTTGATTCTTAAGATTGACATGCTCCTCAAAAAGTAGATGAATCATCGAAAGGTAGTGTGAGAAACAAAAGAAATCAAAAAATGATAAGTAATCCCAAATTTTGGTCAATGAGGGATGATAAAGATCTAAACAAGAGTCATAATAACTGTAAAGTTTATCAAGCTCTTGCTTAATAAAAGCCTTCTCAATAGACAAGCAGGATCTTATACTAATTTTAAGCAATCTATGCTTAATAAAGGACAGGGCAACATTGTACAATAGACAGGATTACAAAAAATGCTTTTTGGCTTTAACCAAGCATAACTTATGCCAAAAACGAGTAATGCAATTATATTCATTAATAATTTCACTGCAGTATTTTTGGTGGAAATATTTAAAAAAAAATGTCTAATACCACAGAACTTATAGTTTTAAACAGAAAAAAAACACATATTTTTCCTTAAAGAAGTAACCTTTTCTCAGGCAACACCTCATCAGAAGAATCATTGATGAATAGTATAACGTAATGAGACTCACAGGATAACAGACATACTGGAAGGAGATGGAGAACTATGGTTAAAATACAATTTACAGTTAAAAGGAAGGGGAGTGGGAATGGTAAAAAACATAATAAACAGTTCCAGTGAGTTTAAAAAGGAAAATATAGACTCTCACACCACCCAGTAGAGAAAGAGAATGAATAAATTTCTCCTTCTGTCAGCACAAAGACAGCCAATACAATTTAATATATACAGCTTCTCAGATGTGCAGATGCTTAACAGTGATTTGTGGTTTTCCATTTTGGGCAAAGCACAGTTGGCTAAGCATCTGCACATCTTAGGAGCAGTTTTTTTGGCATTTCCCCTTTTTTATATTAAATTGTATTTTAAGGAAAAATGTTCATTTTATTTTTGTTATATATTTATGAAAAAAAAAAAAAAAAAAAAAAAGCAATTTTTTACATGCAAAGTTAAAACTTAGCATTGGTATGTGTTGTTTGGTCCATGTCTGCAACCTTTGACCCATCTTGCTTACACAGTCAGCATAAAGCTGACATTTGAATTTGTAAATTACAGAACTAATATGACAGGTAAGATAACATCCATCAAGATTACACTTGAACTACATCTTTAATGATTGTTAAAAAATAAGGTAAAAACGACATAATGTGCTAGAATGTTCCCCGCCCAAAATCTAACTAAATGATGAAACATCAAAATTTTAGGGGAAGTCCTTTCTTGGTCAGACCAAGAACTTTTTGTATTTACAAAAACAATTCTAATCAAGGCAATACATTCATATAATAAAGACGAAAATAAGTAATTTTGTGGCTCACTTTATCTTTTTTGTTTTCTCTGCCTTAATTTTCACATTCTCGAATTCATCAACAAGCCCTCGGCGAACGCTTTTTGGCTGATTTTGAGCTGCTTCTGCTGCCTTTTGATTCCCTCTCGTAGAAAAAGAATCTGTCAACTTGGGGGTTCTTCTGCCACTCTGAACCACCTTTTGTTTCTTAGCTGATGTCAGCCGATTGGATGTCTCCATTGAAGACTGGGAAGTTTCAGACATTTCAGACAAGACTGACATGCTGTCTGAGTCAACATCATCCAGCATGTCTACTACTTGTGCACACTTGAATTTCTGAGATTTTTTACTCTCTACTGTCCGAACTGTAAATGGTTAAAAGAAAGAAAAAAAAAAGGCTTATAGTAAGATGAAAACCAAACCAAACAGATCTTTATTAAGCATTAATAAAAAAATAAATAAAAAAAATATAGCTTTATCTAAATTGTTGAAAAACAATATGAACTAGACATGTTGAAACCATCTGACATAGAGTAATAAAATATAAAAACACATTACTGTTATCCTTCAGGATGGTGGCATAGTGGATACAGGAGTTGCTTAAACATGTGTTACTGCTATCTGGTAGTCATTAATTCAATCCATGGATTAAGGAGTGAAGCACTAGTACAGCAGGAGCAAAATAACACAATATTAGCCACATAATGGACACCTGATGATACTCAAAGGGTATTTGACTGAAACATTGTGACTATAATATAATGTTATAACAAAAAAGATGAAAACAATAATTCAAAATAATTAAAGTATATTATGTAGCTCTGTTAAAACATTGCACCTGAAGTGCCCAGTAATGTGTAAATTCTGTAGAATGCTGATTTAACCCTTTGGAGATAGAGCCTCATTTAGAGTTTTAGTGCCAATATAGAGCTCTTTTCACAAGCTCTCACTTGGAACACAAAAAAAATCAATGTAAAATAACAGAAAATGGCAAACGATCATAGAAGCCATCATTGAAATGCCCAGATGTGCAAGAGATGTGAGAAGCAATCTAATTAGCTGGTATGAAGACCAGCCACCTAATATTGAGGTTTGTATTATCAGGCATATGGATTGGTCCACTCGTCTTCTTCATCATTCGACTTTTCATCTGATTGAGCGTCCCTGTTGTCTCCTAAGGGTTAATTGGATTTTTAATTCTTAGCTTTGTTGCTTTCAATATTTTAGACAGGATGCTGATTAAGAACCATTAATAGCAAAGATGGAGATACTCAGATGCAAGTTGCCTAGATTGGAAATTAAGAGAAGAATTAATAATGAAAATACTTAATCCAAAATTAACTTAAAACCACTGATAAAATATAGCACATCTCCATCTATTTCAAGTCTTACATACAATAAAGGTAAACTGATTAGTAAAATTTAAAAGTAAAATCTGGGCAATGTTTTATCTTTGTGCCCCCCCAAATGGTGTGTCAAAAAGACGGTTATTCCCTTGACAATGCTATTATTACTTTTGACTCCATCATGTTTATTTACAAGATTATAAAACATGTGAGATAAGTACAATGTGATATCTAATATTTAACTTTTATAAACATTTATAATTTATCATTTTATAAAAGAATAAATTTGAAAATGTTATAAACACATGTATGGTAGCATGGAAAAACAAACAAATCAACAGTACTGCTGATGAGGCAGAGGGAAAAGATGACAAGAATTGTAATAAAACTCTTTTATATTTGCAATACAGTGGATGCAAGCTGATGTGTCTCTAAATGTAGTGTAGATGAGGGAGGCGGCTTTGTAGGAAGAATAGAGTTGGTAAGGACTGCAGCTGATGAGTCTGTCAGATCATTTTGACTGAAGTTACGGTGGTGATGTTGAGAGAGGGCTGGAGTGGATTAGTGAAGCTGTTAATCTGACTTTGCTGATACAGAATGTGCAAGCGAAATGTCTTTGTGGGCATGATGTGGGTGTTTGGAGGAAGGTGGGTCTCAAGCAGATATCTGTGTGAAGTCAGTTTGCTGAAGTCACCACAGGCCAACACTGGAGCCTGATGCAATTAGTTCAAAAGTAAACAGGCAATCATGTGAATCTACAAGAATTCTTCAACACCAATTTACAATGTTAGTAAAAAGCTGTATTTAAAAGAGTTAGAAATCAGTAAAAAGAGGAAAAAAAATAGAATTACCTGATTTTGGTTCTCCTTTCTTTAAAATGCTTCCTTGGAATGGGACAACTGGAGACTGATGGACTTTACTTTCCTTTAATTTTCTGGAAGGAGTACAATATCGGTTTTTGGTATCAGATTCAACAACAGAACTCTCAGAATCAGAATCTACCTGGACTTTTGGTGTCAAACCTTTGGTCTTCAACCTGTTCTTGCCCTCAGATTGGACAGCCAGCTCTCTAATGGAACGGCCATCACATGTTCGAGCAACCTGGTACACTTCATTTAAGTGAGAAACTTTGCTAGAGTATTTTAATTCCTCAACCTTGCAATACTGGATCTAAATGAAACAAAGAAAACAAATAGTTAAATAAAGTTTTTTTCTACTCAATTGAATTCTTATTAATTTACAGATAAGTGCTGTCAAAGTAGAAAAATAGGTAAAATTTGTCTATATTTCTGAGATGAGGTATTATGTACACTATTTACATTGTTTGGACTATCACCCTCATCTTTTTTGCCATATTTATCACAACATTTCGGCCATTGTATGCTCCAGCCTTCTGCAGGTGGTTGGAATGTCGAACTGAACCCTTTATTTTGCTCGCTGGGGTAGACTGTTCTAGTTCCACGTGCCATGTCTAATGGATTTCAGCTATCAGTTATCTCCTGTTAATTCCCCTCTCCAAGTTTTCTACTGCCTTAACCAGGTATTGAACTCACACTCTTTGGGTCCTGTCACTGGATCTAACTAATGCCTTTATCCACTGTGCCATGTGTCCTCAAGGACTTAGAGAGGGGAAGAAGGCCAGAGCATATAATGGCCGAAACGTTTTGATAAATATGGCAACAAAGATGAGGGTGATAGTCCGAACAATATAAGTAAAATTTGTGTATGTTAGAAGAGATATAATAATTATCAACACAGAAAATGGAATCTGTCAGCTGAGTATGGATTTTAAGTAAGACTATTTGTCCAAATTTCTGGAATGAGGTGTTATCATTATTTACATTTGGACTAGTGTCTTCATCCTTGTTGTTTTTATCATATTTTGTCTATAGTGTTCTTCAGGTGATAATAACAACAAAGATAAGGATACTAGTCTGAAAGCAAAAAACACTGTTTATATCACATTCATACTAATGCTTTTTGGAAAGGTATGGATCTTGCTTTTTCTGTGTTTTATCTCACTGGCACCATCTCAGTGGCATACTATGATGGCTTTAAATCAGGTCAAGGATTTTCTTACTATTTCTGGTTTTATGCAACCCAATACTGCATTAAAGAGGTAGAGATACTGCAAACTAACCTATCTTACCCACAGAAATACTCTGAAGAACAGGGTGTCAGATCTTGACAACCCAAACAGCTTGGCTTCCTCATCTCTTGTTATGGGGCAAACCATGTGTACGCTAGCATGCCGTTTAATAAGATTTACCCCAGTAGAATTTTAAAATTATATCAGATGGGTTATAGGGAAACTAAGAAACTTTTTTAAAGTGGGAACAATATTGAAAGATTACCCAGATCAATACGTGCCTGATGAAAGTCAGAGGGTATAATAGCTGAAACACTGTGATACTAAAAACAAACATGAGCACAATAGTCGACAGGTTGACAGGTTTGTTTATATATTGTGCACCAGAATGCTTCCTTGGTGATGCATATTCTGGTGTCATAGAAAGTTTCAGGCCTCCATAACATCAGACCTTCTTTCACATGGGCCGAGCTCAGAATGATCATTTTTCAACTAGCATTCTGGCATACCTACCACATGATTGCAAATGAAAATAATGATAACTTCACATTCTATTTTCAGGAATTTCAGGCAGAAAATTGTAAAAAAAGATAACAGATAAAAACCAAAAAAGTGGAGAAAAAAAAAAAACAAATGTAAAAAAAAAGAAAATGAAAAAATAGAAGAAAAAATTAAACAGCAAAAAAAAAAAAAAGTAAAAATCAATTAAAAATTTTAATGAAGAAATGAAAAAGAAGAAGAAAAAAAAAGGCCCAAAAAAGGAAAATAGAGGAAAAAAAAAAAAAATTCCAAGAAAATGATAAAAAGAGAAAAAAGAATTTTAATAACAAAAAGCACAACTTACCTTGCATTTCCCAATTATTGTCTCAATATCAATATCTGCATCAAGACTCGTTGCGGTGTTTAACAACAACTCATTTGGGGCCATTTTTAGATTGTATTTTTTTATCAAATGTGATGGCAGTTCTTGCTTTCTCCAGAACCATACAACAACAGCAATATGCCTGGTACCTCTGAGAGTACCTACAAAACAAAAGCCAGATAATTATTACAATTTCAAAGTAGTTATGTAAATATTGTACAGCGGCACAATAGTTCCCCCATACAATTGGCTGAACACACACAAAGTCAAGCAGGCCTTAAATGATGCTATCAGAATCATAATTTTTTTTTAATGGCTGGAAAAGTCTTTGGAGTTGAGTGAAGTCTAGTGTTCAAAACAGCAACCCACTTGAGCAAAGGGGAAGATAATAATAAACAACTAAATGAAAAAGGATCAAGTGGCACTTCATCGGAAGTCAGATGATGTTTTTGTTTGCAGCCTTATATAAGAAGTGTCCTGGTTAGGGCTAGACAAATAGATGAGCAGTTACTAGGCTGAAGTGTTGAGAAGATCTACGCATCACATACCTTTAAACAGAGTGAATACTAGGTCCAACCAAGGAAACTCATTAAAATAAACACCAAATTATGGAGAATCAGAGTCATATCTTCATTTCTCGCTGTTGATTTTATCCTCCAGTTTTTGTGAACATACCACAGGTATTTTCCAGTTTTGCACACACTGGCACAAATGAGAAGCGAAACCTGTGGAGATTAATTTGTCCAGCCGGTGAAAGTGCCACCTCCACCCATTATTGTGTATGTTCACAGTACAATCAGGAACTTTACAAGTAAAAAATTAATTATTATTATTTTCAAAGAATAACCTTACTTTAACTTACCTTTCGATTTGTCAAAAAGATCCTTAATTTGAGCAACGTGTGCCATGTCTGTGTCATCCTCACCACTGTTTTCATTAGCAATATATACATAATCACCAATTTTGTATTTCACCCCATTAAATTTGAATGATCTAGAAAAATAAAAGCAAGAAAACTGAAGTTGTTTGGAAAATAATGTCTGATTTCAGAATCAGTTTTTAATCTTGAATTAATATATTTAAACAGTATTAAAATGTGTCAAGATATCAACCCTGAAGATCTATACATTTCTGCCATCAAGTTACAAAGTTATTTATGCTTTTATGATAAGACCCTAAAGTTTTGGATGCCAAGAAATCTTCAAATGCAGTTTCTGTATCTTCTTTGCATTGGAATGTCTTTTGGCTTAAAAATTTTGTCAATCTGCTTGAAAAAATGGTAGTCAGTGGATGAGAGAACAGGGGAATATGTTGGAAGCATTAAAGTTTTGTAGGCTAATTCAATGAGCTTCTGCAGTGTCATCCTGGGAACATTTGGCCGAGCATTGTCATGAAACAGAATTGGACCTTGTTAATAAACCAGTGGTTGTAATAAGTTGCTTAACTGAATGTGAATCATCCAGTGTTGCTGGCAGTAAACTTTGACAGTGATACTTTGGTTAGATTCCAGAAAGCTTTAATGGATAATGCCAATGGTGGACCACCAGACAGTTACCATAATCTTCTGTTGGTGCAATTTTGATTTTGGAAAGTGTTTGGGTGCTTCATCATGATCAAGCTATAGAGCCGATCACTTATGATTGTCATAAGGGATCTGTTTCTAATCACAAGTCACTATTTAATTAAGAAATGGATCATTCAAATTTCACAGATGCAGCATTGAAAACACATCAAGATGTTGAACATTTTGACTTTCACTGAGTTCATGTATAACCCATTTGTCAAGTTTCTTCATATTGCCAATTTCCTTGATATGGTCTGATGTTGTTGAAATGCTGACACCCATTATCTGAGATATTTCTCTGACACTTTGATGGGGATTTTGTTCAACTATTGTTGAGATGTTGATTGTCAACTGCAGATGGCCATCCTCTACCATCTTATTAAGGCTCATATCCCCACTGAGAAACTTCAGAAATCAGCACCATACTACTTGATTACAAGTGGATCAATGCATGATCTGTTAATGTTGACAGCAGTTTGAGAATCATTATGACTAAGCTTGAACTCATACAAAAAAAAGAAAAAAAAGAAAAAAAAAGGATAGTAAACAAATCACTTCTTTTTTCATGTTCAAGATAAGGTGTATACAACATCTTAAGTTTAATTCTAAAAAAGTTTGATATATAATTTAACAAAGAGGATACTTTAATAATTAGGAATGTGTAATATATTTTTTGTCCAACTATTATAATATATTAGAACACAATTAAAAAGTTTATTCTGAAAAGGTTATCAGTATGGAAAATGAAATTAGTGGGCCAATTTTAAATGTCATCCAAATCTTTTGCATTAATTGTCCTTGGGAAAGGCATGAATCCATCTGTTTCCCCTAACTTTGAGTAAATAGTAGACTGGACTCTTTAACCATGAAAAAGAAACCAAGTTAGGGAGACAATTTAATCCAAAATCACAGAGAAAGCAATGAGAAACCACCCAAATACCTTTCTCAAGAAATCATGGCAATTTCAAGATATTAAAAAAAAGCGGTGGAAAACCGTGACCACCTACATATTGAAGATACAAGGCACATTAAAAACATACACAAAAAAATGATTATTACAATATCTGAAAAGTAGAGGTCAGCTATAAAATTTTATACATTGTTTTTTAATGTACTATAAATATTTAGATTACTGACTTTCTAAAAGTTTAATCAAAGCAATTTTTTAAAATTTTACAAAGTCAGTGTGTGTGTGTGTGTGTGTCTATATTTCTGAGATGAGGTATTGTAATTATTTACACTATTTACATTGTTTGGACTGTTGTCCTACCTTTCTTGCTAAATTCATAAATTGTACACTCTAGCCTTCTTCAGGTGATTGGAATTTCGCATTGAACCTTTTATTTCATCCACTGGGGTTCAGTTCAAATTTCCAATCATCTGAATAAGGCTAGAGCATAATCAGCTGAAATGTCATGACTATGGCAACAAAGATGAGGACAACAACCAGAAAAATATATATATATATATATATATATATATATATATATATATATTTTTTTTTAAAAAAAAATTCTAACATAAGTATGTTATAAAATCACTACAAAAATAGCCATTTTGTTTCAAAACACTCTGTGTCTTATCAAGTGATGATGTTGAAAATAAAATAAATGGTTTTAAAAGTTTCAGATTAATTAACGATCCTACACTAGGGGGAAACATTGTTACAAAAGCTAGAATAACCAATCAAAAACCAAGTATAGAAAGATTCAAAAGCTTGACAACGAAATCATGTTATAATAGCTATTCAGATCTTTAAAATAGGTGTAATATTAAAAATAATTTATACTAACCAATAATTATAAAATTATATGATAAAATTTAATATTAAAATTAAAAACTGTATATTGCTATTTGGGATTGTGTGTAAGTGTATATATTAGTATAGTTGTGTGTATAAGTGTGAGACCTCAACATCTCCGCAATCATGATATTAACTAATCTCACAGGCATTCATTAACAGTCAGTAAGTTAGCCTTGTATAAACCAGTAATGTCCTGAGTCCAAATATCACAAAGAGCCACACTATTATGGTTCTATGCAAGGCTAAGCTTAGTCAATATTTATTTGCATGTCCAGGTTATAACAGATCATGACAGCCTAAGTTTAGTAAATATCATATCTCTTTACTGTTATTTGTGATCTCTCTTTGTGGCCCTACTTAAATCTACCCTATGCTGAAGCTATGATCACTTTATTTTTTTCTTTTTGTGGGACTGTCCTTGAAAATTTAAACAATAATTTGTGTCACCATTCTAAACTTCAGTTACTTTTCTTAGAAGTGGAATTAAAGACTGTCCAAAATTGAAAACAGAACACAATAAAAATACTTATCTATCGTTGGTTGATATCGCGATCATGAGACCTGTAACTCATTAGGGTCATAGGGACAGCACATGTATTGCAGTCACAATAGCATTGGTGTTTCTTGGACAAGATAGCCTGACTGAGACCAACCCTTTCCAGGTTAGTCTTGAATTCAGGGTTTTTCCTTCTCCTAGACCAGTTGCCACACAAGGTTATAGGATCCAGTCTGTCCTGCTATTTACCCATAGCTGAGGGGAGAAGAGATGGATTCATTCTTTTCTCAAGGTTATTAGCATATAAGTGAACATAATAAACTTGATTTGAATTTGAACTCAGATCTATGATTATTCAAGCTAAAAAGCTATCAATTACTCCACTATGTCTGGGCTGATATGAAAAGAAATCTCAATTGCTCTACCAAGAGTGGCTCTTGAGGCTTGTATTGAGTGAACTTAAAAAAATTAAAAATCAATAATTACATTAAAAGTAACTGTCTTGAATTGAGAAAATTTAAAAAAATTAAATATAAAATAAAAAATTGTATCGTCAGCAAATACCAAAAAAAAAAAAAAATAATGTTATAATAGTTATATAAAAATTTAGAGCAGATGATTTGCAAGTTTAAGAAGTGTAAGATTTAAGAACATCCTTGAATTTGTTCAGCACATCTTTCCTGAATAAATTTAAATGGGGTCTTATTTTTCATTTCAATCTTATTCTTATTCTTATTTTTTTTTAATATTCCTCCACCTTTGTTTAAGCAAATTAGAACTTTTTTTTTTAAGAACTTTACTTTATCTTTTTTTCAGGTACTCAACTGCAAGTGTTGCATTGCAAATGTTGCATTGCAAATGAAATCATAAAATTAAATTCTTTGATAAAATTAAAATTCAATTATTTGGAAAATGAACAATTTTAGATGAGTTTTGTTTTTCTATTATGAAACTGCAATGCAAACTTATGTATTGCTAAAAACGTGAACTAAATGAATGGTTTCATTGATTTCACAAAAAAAGTAAACACGAATTTCATTACAGCACAGACTACTTAAAAAGTACGAATCGAGTATATTCTTTTTAGTTTTTAGCAGTAGTTTTTAATTTGCTTGCCAAAATAATTTTACCTTTTCTTCTTTATTATTAATAATTCAGGTGGGTGAAAGTGGTAGAAAGAATTTAGAAGAGAAAAAAAACGTAATTTTTAAAACTACGATATTTTTATGCTAAAATGTACACAAACAAACTAGCATTTTTACAAAATATAACTTCTTTATATATTAATGCACTATGAGAACATTAAAGATAGATTGTATCTTCAATGTTATACATTTGAAAAGTTTTCAAGTTTTGAAAACAGTATCACATCACGAAAAAAGTAAAAAAAAAAACGAAAAAAAAAAAACATGCATACTGACTGATAATGTTTTGCCTTGATACGTCTGTTATCTACAAGGGTTTCTTCTCCGATCCATGTAAAATCATTTATTTTTATCGGAGCGAAGTATTTCGATCGGATCGGCATCGCGTGTAGTAATCGTTTTTGTAGTTTAAACACGTGGATGAACGGCAATGTTGAACAGAATTAAAAACAATCAGCCATTAAAGAAAGCGGGAGTTTGTGGCGACCGCCTTTTGTAGTCACATGATGCTTTCCTAACCAATCGGATTGGATTAAGCGTAGTTTTCTCCCTTTACCTTAATTTGGTTTTGCTTTCTCACAAACACTAATATTTACTTGAAAGTGAAAAAAAGTTAGTCTTTCAAGTAGTCTGTAGTAAAATTTGATAATAAAAGAAAATTCCTTGATATTAAGACTTTATTTCTATATCTATACTTTTGGAAAAGATCTGTTTTAATTTGTCTTTCATTTTGCTTATCAAGTTTTAAAAATAAAAGAATATAGTGGTGTTGGTAATTTTTCATCACAAATAACTCCCAATAATTGTGGTCAAATTTAAAACTGCAATTTATTTAGATTTTTGCAATAAAGTTTTTGCATTTAAAAGTATGTGTGAGTTGATTTTTTGTGGATGTATCTTTTCATAGTTAACAGTATGATTTGAAAAGTTTGGAAAAATGGATATGTTTGATATGAAGACAATTCATACATTTTATAAATGACATTACTCATTGTTTGCAGAAGAAAAGCAAGTAAAATTGCATTATCTGAAAAATAGTTTAAGTTGTCAGTGAGTCAATTAATATCTACTTGCTTAGTTCCCATCTTTTGATATGAGGAGTTGCTTGCCATATATTTGGGTAGATGAGCAGGGCTAGTAACATTTGAGTTGACTGAGTTGTTACAAAGTCTGGTGAATACAGATGATAGCAAATAGAATGTTTTTTATTTTTAATTTACTCAAACTAATAGCAATTGTTTGAAAATTCTCTTTTTATACATCATGACCGTTTTCTACTACATCTGCAAATTTCTAATCCTATTTTATTTTTATTTTTGGAGTTTGCTGTTTCAGTTTACATACATGGTAACTGACATCTCGTCATTGAGTATGACCATGACAAGATCTCACTGTAAGACCTAGTCATGCTTTAAATGGATGAACTTTTAAGAATTATAACACAAAGTTGACAGGCATGAAAAACATACATTTTATTGCGATTAGATTTACTTTTGTGACTGTTTCAACACACCAGCTGATTTGCAAACTTTTCTGCAAAAATGACATGAATTCTCATCAGTATTTAATGCCATTTTTTAGTTGGTTGGTGATGGTACAATGACTTCTCATATGACTTAATTTTCCTGTTTTGCTAAAGCAAAGCCTACCACAAAAATTACCAGTGAAGTCATGCCTGTCATCTATATGGTCTGGAAGTACTATATTAAGACATTTTCAGATATTTCTTTTCAATATTTACTTTGCAATCCAAGAACTCTTACATGCAAATTTTCAATCATGAATCTTCTGCCAGGTTTTTTTTTGTTTTGATTTTTTTGTGTAGCAAAATATTAACTCCTTACGCCTAAATTTTATTTTCTTGTGAGCTTTCCTTACACACAAGCCACTAGTAGCCCACTGGTGGGTCACCGATGGCAACGCTAACGGTCCTCTGGTGGCAGCCACTGGTGGTGCCTCTAGCGGTCCGCCAGTGGTAACATTGCTGAGAGGAATACGCCAGTGGTCTGACAGCAGGCCACTATCAGTAAATGTTAGTGTCATGACACTCAATGGCAGATTGGTGGCTTGGGTGTAGGGTTGGTAATTTTTTTCAAAATCTGTATTGCTGGTAATTTTTTTCTATTATAAAATTGTATTGCTGGTAATTTTTTGTAAAGTATTTTTTATATTTTCATGTTTTGACTACAGTTTGGGAGTTCACTATTTGCCCATAGCTAAGACCTCAGCAGGTGGTACCACCCTGGGTAAGAGTGAACCTGTAATTAAGAGATGGTTCCATACTCCTCAAAATCTCCTGATCAGAGGCCTTGTTGCAGGATGTGGTTTATTGGCATACCCAGAATGGGTCTTCCATCAGGTAGTATGATCATTTGCATAGGACTCCCAGTTATGTATATTGATGTTTGCAAAGTTGAATGATTCTTTCAGGACATCCTTATAATGCTACTTTGGTTTATATGCTACTAACATCTATATGAATATACAAACACACACATGTGCACACATAAATTTGGCTTGACAAAACACGAAACACATGGCCCAAAGATTGTGTTCAAGCATGAAACAGACTGTCACAAATTGACTTCTTTTAATATATATATATATATATATATATGTGTTGACTGGTTTACCGTGTTGTCCAGGTCACACTCTTTATTTCATCTAAAAGTTCTGGAGGCACTTTACATTGGGTCCCTTATGCCTTCTTTGTGTAAACAACGTGATTGTCTGTTGGGGCTCGCTGTCATTTGTCTCTAGTTCCTTTTTTTTTTTTCTCCTCCCACAACTTCCTTTTATTGTACATTTTTCTGTGTTAATTTTAAATCAAATCTCCTGTTGAAGCCTGAAGAGCGGGAGCGAAACCGGTTGCTTCGCCCGTTTTTAATATGTCGTAATATTAAGTTTTATACTTTTATTTCGATCATTAAATTTTGTACCTACAAAAATATCTTTAAATATATATATATATATATATATATATATATATATATATATATGGTGCGATGGATAAATTGTAGTCCATTAATTAAATTGTAGTAATTATGCATCTGTGTACAGTTAATTATATGAAAAATATGTTTATTCATTAGTTGTAAATAGAATAAATTAAAAATGACTGCAAATTGGTATATCTGGTCATCTGGCCACAACTGCTCTGTGTCTGGTAGCATGGGTGTTTCCCAGCTTGGTGTATGACAATTTGCACCCCAGCTCCTAGCAGGGCTAGCATTCCCTCACATGCCTCAAGCTCAGTGTTAGGGCAGCCTGAGAATTCATTTGTATCTTAGAAATTTTTCTTCAATAAACATCCAAGATATCTGCCAAGAGGAAATAGTCTTTGTTTACTTCTCAACTTGCAAAGGAGGAAAGAAAGGCTATTAATCTCCAGATAAAAACACTGGTGATTAAACAGTATGAAGGAGGGAAGAAAGTGAATGTAATCGAATGTGATACTGTGTTGAAAATTTTGAAGGCAGAGAAAGAATTTGTAAAGCTGTGAAAGGTTCTGCACTTATGTAATCAACATTATAATGACAAGTACCAACAGCTAATAAGATGTTTAGCATTTGTATGTACTTTGGTATGTTTCAAAACTAAATTGTTTTCTGTTTTTTGAAGCTGAGTGACTTAATAAAGAAAACATGCTCACTGGCAGAGTTTGAACCTGCATCCTGTTTCAGACGAGAAACTACCATCTGATCTAGCGTGTTTTAGAATGTTCAGCCACACAGAGGTTTCTCTTGCAAAGAGGGACAGAGGTTTGTACCATACCAAAGAGCCCATTTTTGTTTATTAAGTCTCTCAATTGTGATGTAATTCACATTCTTAAAAAAAAATAGGGTGTCTATTCAAATATGGATATCCACAAAATAATGAAAATACTACTAGGAAATATATATATATATATATATATATATATATGAGCCTTTTATATATATATATATATATATATATATATATATATATATATATATATATATGATAAAAAAAGGCTCAAATACTAATATTCCATGGTTATAATTTATTAATCACAATCCAATTCATCAGACCTAAAAATTCAAAAAGAAAACAGAAAATATATCTTTGGGTATAAATAAACAAAATTTCAGTGAAAGTGTATGTGTGGGAGTGAGGAATAAGGGTGAAAAGGAAAGCTCTAGAAAGAGGTGTAACTGAAGAAAAAGAAGAACAGGAAAGGCCTTAATGTGAGGGTGACGAGTAAAATTTAAAAGAGAGAAGTTTTAAAGAGAGAAGTTAAATAACAGTTTAAATGAATGAGATACGGATAAATATGAGTTATTATCAGTTGCATAAATCAGCTATTGATTCGTTGACCTAAAATTTAAAAAAAAAAGACACCAGAAAAGTTTTGATACATTTGTGGTGATTTTTAGATACAATAAATGATTATACAATCCAAATTTAAAGTCTAGCCAATTTACAATTCCAATATATATATGAAAATTTGTCATCTGGTTTGCATTTAGTAACCTTATGTATACATGAAAAGAGAAGATGAGAAAGGAAGAAAAGGTCCAAGGAAAAAAGGTTGGGAGGAAAAGAAAGAAAGAAGGAAAGAGGGGCATTTATAAGAGAAATGATGTGTAATCAAGAATACTTTGAAAAAGCATGTAATTTTCCCCTACAGATTAAAAATTTAACATAAGCATATAAAAATATTTAATCCAGTAAAAACTCTACTATTTAGTACCACATACACCTATATACACATATACATATACACACACATACCTACATATATATACATACGCATACATCCATACATATGTATATATATATATATATATATATACACATATATACACATACAAATACATATACACATATACACATATATATATATATACATGCATATACACATAGACATATATACACATATATACACATACAAATACATTTTATACATATACATACATATATACACATAGACATACACACATGTGCACACATATACATATATTCACACACTCATATATACAAATATATATACATATACACACATATATTTGAAAATGAAACAACAGAACTAGGTACTTTAATTTAATTTAATTTCTATAATTGAATTGGAAGTTTTTAGCTTGTTTTTGAAACATGGTAATTCCTGTGTAGCGATGGAATCATATTTTTTTAAAATCTAGGCTCTACTTGTGTATAGAGCACTGTTTTTTAAAAATAAAAACAAGAATACTAAAGAACTTTGGATCATAAATCGAACGGTTCTTTCCTATTTTATCAATATATTAGCATATATATATATATATATATATATATATATATATATATATATATATATAGATAGATAGATAGATAGATAGATAGATAGATAGGTAGATTTTAGAGGCATTTTACATGCCTCTAA